TTTAATCCCTGTACTATCTCTCCAGACCAAGCTCTTTTTAGTTTTTTCAAGAAACAGAACTTCTCAGGTTCCAGATAAAACCCATTCCCAGATTCTGTCCTTTTCACTTAAAGAGAATCCACAGCTTAAACTGAATTTATCATTGCCTGTGAGTTTCATGCTTCGACTTCACCTGCATGCGACCATGTTTGATATCCGGTATTGTTTTGGGGGATGTCATAATTTGTATGTAATTCTGATGAACATTGAAGATGTATTAAAATACCTAAAATTTGTGGAAACCCAAATAACCAACAGGCGTTCTTCTAGAATTATAGATTATTTTCTAATTTTCTTTCTCTATTCTACTCTTCCTTTATTTTCCTATTTTCTAAGAGCCATATTGCTCCTATTACCAAAAAAAACCCAATTTAACCTGACATTTTTTTAGAAAGAACAGCAATGTCCCTTTGAAAGTGTTCCCTTCACAGAGTGTAAACTTGCAATTATTCACTGTCATTGGGTTAGATTAATTAAGAGGCAGAATACAAACAGACTGCCATTATTTCCTACAAAGATTTGTAGTAAAGAAAAAAATCTATGGTGACAAATTAAACAAAGATAAAGGTTTAAGTTGATTTTTTGGGAGGGGGGTAATGAAAAGCAAGAATTAATTCTCCAAGAAAAAAAGGAAAGGAAGGAGAGATAGTATGGAGCTTTACTTGCATGCAGCCAAGCAGGGTTCAATCCCTTGCACTCCATAAGGTCCTTTGAGTTCCACCAAGAATGAACCCTGAGCACAGAGCCAGCAGTAAGCCCGAGCACTGCCAGGAGTGGCCCCCTTCTAAAATAAATCGGTAATAAATTAGAAAGTAAAAACAACCCTGCTTTATTTTTGTTTTGTTTTGGTTTGAGGCCACAATCAGCGATGCTGAGGATTTACTCTTAGCTCTGTCCTTAGGAATCACTCATGGCAGTGCTCAGGGCACCATATGGGATGCTGGGGATTGAACCCAGATGAGTCGCCTGCAAGGCAAGCGCCCTACCTGCTATAATAGCGCTCCAGATCAAAAAATAATCCTGATTTAAACAAACACATGGTTGGAGTTTGACCTGTGGGTTACTGTCACCTCTGAATTTTTGAAATTCCATTTTTAAAGTTATAACAAAAGCCAGAAACACATCCCTTAATAGTCGGAACCAGATCCATAGCTCAAAGGGGTAGAGCACATAACTTACATGCATAAGGCACCCAGTTTGATTCCTGGAACCAAATGCCCTGCCCCCAGCACCACTTCACACCTCCCAGCACCAAGTCATCACTCCTGCATCACTGAGTGAGCATCACAAAGGTGGACTTGTGACCTCCACGACCGCTCAGTAGGCCCTAGAGTATACAATTCTATATTATTCAATGATAATATACACTGTAGTCGCGTATACTATACAAAGTACACAATTCAGTGGTAGTCATGGTGGCATGCAATCACCACCACTACCTTCATAGTCACCAACCCCAAAGAAACTCTCCACTGATGAGCTGTCATGGCCCATCACCTGAGCCCCAGATTCCAGTCACTAGCAACCATGAATCTACATTCCATCCCACTGGATGTGTCTAGTCTGTACATGTCATGTGAATGATACCACAGACTCATCTGTGTTGGAGCATGGATCAGTAATATGTTCATTTTTATGATGTTTCTGTTGCTCATCACCTTTAACTAATCCACTCATCAGTTGATATTCTGTTTTCTTGGGGGATTCTAAACCTGTCACAAATATTTCTGTACAATGACCTCTAAATTTAAGTCCAAATATTTAAAATGTTTTGTAAATACATTAATATGCTTAAATATCACATACACTAACATGATTCACACACTATGTATTTTTTCCTACACCATTCTCTCCTAGAAACAGTAATGGCAGCTTCTGTAATTTCCCTCCAGCATAGCCAAGTATCTGAGACACTTTTATCTCAATGTGATTATACCGCTTCCAACCTACATGCATATTAAGAAAACTCTCTTTCCATCCTAGCTTGCTGAATTCCTTTGTTTTTAAGGTGCAATGGGGTTTTGAGGTCCGTGCAAGGCAAGTGGCTTAATGCCTGTATTATCTATCTGCCCCCCTATTCTGTTTATTTTATTGTGCCCGGGACTTTACAAACACTAAACATGTTGCTCTCCTGCTAACCACAGCCCTGGTTTCTCTGCTTTAAATGAAAAGGGAACGAAGTGCAAAAGACACAGCTTCATAGAACAACTTCCTGGTTTGCATGCAAGAAACCTGGGCTCCGATGGTTGGCACTACATGGTACTTCTACACCCCCACAACTGCTCGGTAGAACACCTATGCTGAGTGGGACACAGCCTCTGAGCACCACTGGGGGCTCAAAAAGGCAACTTTTTAAAAAAGGCAACTTTTTTAAAAAGGCAACATACTTAGGTGCCTTGCACAAAGCTTTTACCCATAACTAGGGTATGTTTTCATGGTTCTAGAGTGTCCTATTCTTTTTAAAAGCTACACCCCCTCCCTTTTATTGGAGGGGACATGTGACCTTACAGCAGTTTTTGGAGGGATACTCCTGGCTGTATTGGTGGTCACTCTCAGTGGTGCTTGAGGGATATTGTAGCTCTGGGGACCTAGTGGGAATCTACTAGGCCTTAGCCTTTCCTCCAGCCCTTAGCAATATTTTCTGCTCATTGTGGTTTTAGTGTTGAGATCATAACTGGCAGTTCCCAGGGCTTACTTCTGGAGGTCTACTTAATCTCTACAGTCCTACAAATTTCCTACTGTCTGTTCCAGTTTATTTAACTAGTCTTCCCCTGATGTGTGTTCAAGCTGTTTAGTAAATCTATATGAAACATAAAAAGCAACCAATAGGGTAAATGTCAGATTATGTAATGATTTAGTATGACTGCCTAATTTTATTACTAATCAGGAAAATGTAAAGACCAGAGATTCAAGTTAGTTTGGAAAAATAGAATGGGACTCAATTGATCCCAGGAACCACGTGATTCCGTGAGGACCACCAGGATGGATCCCTGAGCAGAATGAGGAGCAAGCCACAGTATCACTGGTATGCCCCAACCCTTGCCTCCCTGACAGTACGAATTTGTGAGATAAGCTGAAAATGGACCCACATTGGTTTCATTATGGAATTTGTCTTCAACCTCTTTGTTTTGCAGACTATCATACTCCTGGAATCTATGCATTTTTAGTATATCTGACAATCCTTGAGGTTTTTTATGGTCAAGGTAATCTAGCTCTCAAGTTTTATCACAGGGAAAGAAGAAAATTATGTATCTAAACGTATAAAGTAGTAATGAAAGTGATTTTAGTCAGTTTTCTGTCCTTAATGTAGATGTTATGAACATTTTTAGGTCGCAAGAACAAAGAAAACAGGAAACCTTATTGAAATACTATACCTTCAGAGGCCTGACATTGTGTGTAGTCACCTCAGGATTAATGGTCCCATGACCACTGGAGGATGTGGCCGGGGGTGCACTAAAAAACCCCAGGAAGGCCCAAGATATCCACAGCACCTGGGGGCCATCACATTGAATACTTAGGTTTCCTGAGTACTTCTTGGGAAACTCATTTCTCGAAACTACAATGGGTATCCTGTACACTATTGCTGGTATATAAAAAGGTAAAATCATGATGAAAGTTTTCAAGATAGAATGATCATAAGGTCAATTAAGCCCACTGCTGCATGTAGATGGCAAACAAATGAAATAAAAACCTAGAAAAGATTCTCTAGTTTCAATTCACTACATGGTTTACAACAGCAGACATGGAAAACTGCCTATCATGTTTCTTAAGGATGTAAGGATAAAGAAAATGTATTATGCAGACAATAGAGCATCTCACCCTTTATTAATTACTATTATTGTGAAGACCACACATTTGTCGGGGTAAAGTAGCTATTCCTGGCTTTTTACTCAGGTACGATCTTTGGCAGTGCTAGCGGATTATCTGTGGTACGAAGATAGAGCTGGAGTTGGCTCATGCAAGTGCCTTAACCGTGTATTATCTATCCTGCAATGTACCCAGCCATTAAAAGAGAATCAGTAACAATAATTCCATAAGGGGGGGGGGGGGAGAACAGGCACTTCATACAGATGGCCAGTAGACATTGAAAAAGTCTTCACCATTGCTATCAGGTAACTGCTAATCAAAACAATTGAGATATCCACACCAGTGAGAAAGGCATCTATCAATCAAAGACTGGAAAGAAATCAGTGCTGGCTGAGATATTGTGAAGACAGAGTCATAATTGCCCGTTAGTGGGCCTGTGACATAGTTTAGCCTCTAAGGGAAACATTATGGAATTTCATTTCCTAATACAAGTCTAATAAGTTTTTTTTTTGGCATCAAACACAAAACAGAAAGCCACTAATTTAAAAAGATCAACTCAAAACTAAATTCATTGAAGCCATTAGTATAATACTAAGGATATGGTAACACCACAAATGCTCAATGAGAAATGAATAGATCAAGATGTGGCATACAAAGTGGGGTGAGTGCAGTTAGGACCGAGAAGGGATAACTGACAATGATGGTTGGAAATAATCACTCTAGACAAGAACTGGGGGCTGAAAGGAGATAAACTAATACTCATGATAGCTTCCTTTCAGTAAAACTATTGCAAACCACACCTAAAAGGGAAAAAGTGGGGTGGAATAGAAAAAGAAAACTGTCTGCCATAGAGGGGAAACTGGGGGATATTGGTGGCAGGAAATGTGCACTGGTGAAGCAACTGATGTTGAGACATTGTAAGGGTGAAACTTAATCAAGAACAACTTTTATTTAAAAAATTTTTATTGAATCACCATGATCTAGTTACAAAAGTTTCATATTTGAGTTTCAGTCATACAATGGTTGATCGCCCACCCCTCCAACATTTTCCACCACCGATATCCCAAGCATCCCTCCCACCCCGTCCCACTCCTCCCCCTGCCTCTATGGCAGACAATTTCCTTCTTATTCTTATACTGTATCTCAGTGATTAAAAAAATTTAATAATATTTAAGTTGTGGAATATGTGCACAATGGAATACTAAGCAGCAAGAAAAGATGAAATCTTGCAGTTTTTTACAATTTAAATGGAAATAGAGGACATCTTGTTAAGCAAAATAAGTCAAAAGGCGAAAAACTAACCCTGGATGATCTCACACATCTGTGGACAACAGAGAAACAAAACAAGGGAACAGACAGTATCAAATATGACAGATCATTGGCATTGGACTATAAAAGCGATTCAAAACCAGTGGGAGAATGAAGATCAGACAAGAGGCTATAGAAGGGTGAAGAGTCCTGGGCACTTTGGTGATGAGGTACAGTAACTTCGTACTTTAACAGTACTGTAGCCATATTGCCTAAACTACAATAAGAAAGGGGTGAATCCTACCATTTTTGACAATGGAAACAGACCTGAATGATGTGAATTAAAATAGCCTAGATACAAGAAGAAAATTACTGCATGAACTCACTCATATTTGGAATCTACAAAAGTCACTCGTAGAACAGTTAGCCAACAGGGATTTGGGAGAGAAAAATTTTTTTCAACAGAAAAAAAATCCTGTCATACATAATGAATAATTTAACCATCTTCAAAACAGCGCCTATAGCTAACAATATGATATTCTGCACTTAAACATCTTGTTGTTCTTGGGCCACATCCGGTAGTCTTCAGGTATTTTCTCCAGGATCTGTGCTCAAGGACCATTCCTGATGGGCTCGGTGGAACCTATGGGGTGCTGGGGCAGTGCTCAGGGAATCATATGGTGCAAGGGAATCCCACTTGAGCCTCTTGCATGCAAAGCAGGAGGTGCAGTCGATTGAGTTGTTTCTCCAGTCCCGCTAGGAGCATTGGGAGGTTATGGATAAGTCCATTATCTTTACTCCCTGATTGTATCGTGGTGAATGTGTATGTTCGTGCTCATCATGTATATTAATTAGATGCAGTTTCTTTTCAATTGACGATGGTTCCGGCTATCAACTTAGGAGAACAATGATGTTGTTGACCCCGACAATTAAAACAGAGAGAAACTGAGTGAATAGAACAAAATAGTGAGCTATGAAGGACCCCAGTGAAAAATGGCTGTTAATTTTGCCAATATGATTTTCTAGCTGCTGAGATAGGAAACTGAAGTCTGTTTTTAATAAAATGATTCAGGTGCTCAACATTTCATAAATGATGATTATGGCAGTGATTAACTCTTTAGAGTACACCTAATAAAATGAGTTTCTGTTTCCTGTACCATTTTCCTTATTTAATTTTCCTCTAATTTCTACCCTAAAAATGAGAATCCAAGAAAGAATAAGGGGTCAATTTATTTTAAGTAAATTTATCATTAAATAGCAACAAGTAACAATTTCAAATATTTATAAATATTGTGATTTATAGAAAATTAGTATAATCTAAAAGTTATTTGAACAGTGAGATTCACAATTATTTACAATTCACCCAATCATCACAGAAATAATATTTCTAGAAATAATCTCCCCTTCCCAAAAAGTAGTAATTCCACAGAACCATTCTATACTGTCATTAAAGTAGCAGCTGCATCAATAAAACCCAGCAAATTCAATTTAGAGGTGACCACTAATTTCAAACAAAATTAATCTCCTTATACTATTTATACATGTTCCCATTTTCAGCATGGAAGAAAATAGTTAGGAAGCAACAAATCCTTATGCATAAGAAACAGGAAGTTTTAAATATTTAAAATGACATCAAGAAGATATACTAGGTTATCTTTAGAGTGTGCCATACTAAATCTCAAAAATAAGTGGAATCATTAAAAGACATTCTAATGGAAAAATGATTTTTAGTTCTGATTCTGTATCATTAACCATAGATAATTTCCTGTCTTCTCAAACAGATTTTATAATTGCATATCAGCAATAGCCATATTTGAAAAGAGCACTCGAAGTTTTTCTCAATTTAGGATTTTAACTCTTTTGATATACCCTAACAAGGATCACACAGATATGCAACAGTATGAACACAGGATAGTGATTGAGTTTCAAATCAACATATACTGTAGTATTCCTTCCATATTTTTAGGGTGTCTATTAAGCTAAAACAAAAGAAAAGCTAAGGTATAACAAATATAGTTGAAGACAAAGTACATTTTTCTCTTATTGACATAGAACATTTAGCTAAAATTTAAATATTGGCTCGTTAAAGTTGTTCATGGTAAATAATCTGGATAACCATTACAAAAAAAAATGTACAGTGGTTCCCCCCCAAATTAATGTATGCACAAAGTGGTGTATTTAAGACCAGCCTCAATATAACCAGCTGAAAACAGTATATTCTTAATTTATAAATGGGATACTCCAGTACAAAATATGTGCATGTTATACAAAGTAAGGAATATTAAAAGGTTAAATGAAAAGAAAAAAAATGTTGTCACTGTGAGACCCAAACAATTGAATGTAATTAGTGAGCCTTGTAAATTGTACTCAATTTATAAACGGCTACCATTGTATATAAATTGTATAGACACATATGAAAACAGATAAAGTAAAAAATACAAAAAGATGGAAATAAAAGGAAAAGTATGTTTCACATAAGATACAGACAGCAATTCAGTATAATTAGCAAGATTGTACAGTAAAATGCCTCAATAATTTCAGTTTTGGCAAAGAATTTTCAAAAAATTATATACTTTGTGTGGGTTCTAAATTTTCACTTAAAAATTTAGTGCATATACTGTGTTATATCTAATAAGCTGAAAAGAGAGCTTTCAGGGTCTCTTAAAAAAGAAACAAAAGTGGCTTTTAACTATGTGTAGTGTGGAGAACCAAATCCTGACCCTTCTGTGATTAACAGACAAAATATTGATGGGACAGGATACAAATTCTTCCTTAGAGAAAATGGGACCAAAATTATGAGGAGGGGTCACCCTCAAAATGGCTGGTCCAATCTTGGCTTAATGTTAAAAAACACACCAAATGTTGTTGTATTATTCGTTCTCCTGCATTTTATTTCAAGCCACAAGTCTCTTTGGAAGATAGATCATGCAGCACGTGGCTTAAAAATAAAATCAGAGTCTATGTATAGTGTTCTCACATACAGAAATAGAATTGCTGAATTCTCCCATTACATAAAAAGCTCCAATCTTTGTTATCGATGAACTGGTACTATTTACCGGGTACCTGAAAAGGGAGGACAAAAATCATATACATCAATACAGTGTGCAATTGAGGAGTACAAGCAATGAAGACCTATTCTCTTAATGAAACCAAAGTTCCCTTTGATTTCAAAATATTGTTTTACAGTAAAATTTTAATATAGTGAATATTATATTTACCAAGGCAAACAATTCTCACTATTCTGAAATCTCAGCATGTTACCAAGATAAAAAATAAAGATGTAAACCATATTAATTAATGATGTCTATAAATTTGTATACTTAATGTAGCCTCTGTGTTAGAGAAATGCTACATGCCATACTACCACATCTTTCCACTGTTATTTAACAAGGGAAAACACAGGAAAAATAAAATTGGATCATTTCATACCCCATGAAATTTTCTTTCATTGTCCAGACCATAATTATGCAACAACAAAAGACTGGGGATAATGAAAAAAATTATTATTTCCTAAAATGGATTTAAAACTTAAATTTTAAACTTAAATCACAGTGTCATTCTGACATTCCCAAGAAGCCAAAATAAAAGACTTCTGCTGATTTATGCAAACAGAAGTGCTTTTCTAATGTATAAAGCACGAAGATCAATATAAAGTATAATTATTATGGACGCGTTTATGGAAACAAGACATGTTTGTCATAAATATGAAGGATATAGAACACAGAAAAGAGGTATGGCCAGGATATAGCTCAACCGTCTTAGAGTATTTTTTTTTGATGCCCTGAGCCTAGGCTCAATTCCTAGCACCACATGGTTCCCGAGCAACACTATATGAGTAACCCCAAGCCAGTAAACCACTGAGCACTGCTGGGAATGGTGCAAAAGACAGGAAAATTAAAAGGTGATCAATTCTTAAATTCTTCTGCAAGTAACCTAAATTCTATCATTACTGAGATATAATTCAATGTTATTTTGATACAAATAATTTCCATTCTCTTATCTATATATATCAGTAAATGGACAAAGTCAAGCTCAATACAGACTGGTCAGATATTTACAAAGTTGTTGCCACATATCACAAACTTTAAATTGTACATTTTAATTCCAGAATACGATTTATAATTCGGGAAGAGTGGAACTTTCTGCCTAATTATGAAGATGTATTTTTGTATTTTCTTGGTAACATGTGGAATAAGAAGTTGTTTGCACATTTGTTATTAATTTGATGAAAATTATCTATATTTAAAAATATTTAATAAAATGTTTTCAAAATATGGCCAAAAGTTTTCAAAATTTTACCATATTTAAATTAACACAATTTAACAATATGTCCCCAAACATGCTAAACAACTTTACGTTTACAAGAATACTCAGTTGAATTCAAAGTATATTGACTCAGCTGAAGTTAATATTGACTCAGTTGAAGTCAATAACTCAGTTTCATATTCACATCCAATTTAAATAATCATTTAAAGAAAACTCAGCACACAGAATGTATTCTTTATGTTAAACAAATGTGACTATACATCTCTGGTAGTTATGTGCTTTATAGGAACTTTGCTAAGATGTTCTGGCAAAAACTTACCAGAATTGAAATATTTATATAGAATTACTTAGCAAACTTTCATAAATACGGAAAACACAATGCATGAATTTCAAAGTCAACTGAAAGCATGTCAAAAATGCCACTTTCATCCATCACTCTGAAAGTCATTTCCATTCAAATGTTAGCATTAGCACGTTTGACTTTTCTGCCTCTTGACAGGCCAGCAAATGTAGCCCAGCAAGAAATTGTCATCGACTGAAAATAAAAAGTGGTTAAGCAGAGCAACAGTGCTTAACTCGGCTTGCTTCCAAACATTGTCGAACTAATTAGACTTTTCATTGATTTTCATGTGCTTAAACATAGGCAGAACAAAATAAAACACTGTAAACTATCTGCTGCTGAGTTATACACAAACACATTATAGCTAACTAATACAATTGTCTAATTTAAAGAGTAACTGACCTGAGATGTACCTTGCTCCGATTAACATTATCATGCTACTCACTATAAAAAAGCCCAGGGGCAGACTACAGAAGATACTAGGGTCACCTGTAGCAATCCAAGCAGAAGGGAATTCCAGTCAAGCAAACCAAAAGAGAGACACAGAATTATAATATTTGTGTTAAGAATCACATGATAGCAAAACAAAATAAGTTACAAAAGTATATTCACAAAAGCTGGCAAAGAGTTATTATTCAAATCAATAAAATAATCAATATTGAAGACTTACAGCAGTTAAACAATACAGCTAGCAGGCCACAAATGAAGAGCATAATACACAGGTCAACATAAGCCTTCGGTTGGCAAGAGAAAGCTTATGGAGAACTTTTTGGGAGGCTGTTGCTTTTAGCTCTCTGAATGTTGCCTCAAAGACATTAAATCCACTCTCCAGTGTTTAACTTAGAGACTTTCTGGCTATGCTAAGCATCATTTCAGCGCACGGAATATGAAGCTTAACCCTATTTTTTCCTAAAATATTGGTTGTTTCCTCTTATTGTTTGGGGGCCACACCTGGCAGTGCCTAGGGTTGGAACTGGGTAAGTCGCTTGCAAGGCATGTGCCTCAATCCCTCTGCTCTTTCTGACACTTTTTCTTTTTTTAAAATTGAAACATGGATAACAAAATGGACCTGATACTCTCACTCAAAAATTTTTAACCACCTAAGTTGGAGATGTTGGGGAAGTACCCCAGCGGAACAACCTGTTTCTCTATTGTGAGATGGCCTGGGTTTCATTCCCAACACTGTAAATAAGCCATATTAACAAATTTCTGAGAATATGGTTGTCTAGGTATTTTCTAACCTGAATTCTCTGGAGATTCTCTCTGATACGTAAAAGTCCAATATAGGCTTTTCTTGAATGATAGCATTATGTATGCAAAATACTCGAATATTTTTAAAAGCACATTTAAAATATGTACTAGATTATGAAAATGCCACCATTAGATGAAAGGATTTCTGTAAAAAACAGTTAAGAATTTATGACAATATAGTTGGCAATAAAATAAATGGATGATAGTCATTTCTTTGGCCATTTTAGAGGATTTTACCCTTTCACAACGTAGTTCTCTTACAAAGATTTTCATTAAAGCACTGTAGCACTGTCCTCGCATTATTAAAGAGGGATAGAAATTATTTGTCTCATTTTACTAGTGTTGGCAATTTTTCAAAAGAAACAAAGTTACTACATTCAAAGAAATGATAATTAAACTTAATTTTGGAAAAGGAAACATTTGCCACATCTTTAGCACCGACAAACATAATGACCTGTACATACTAATTATCACTTTTCTATGACACTACAGTGAGTTGTAATTTAAGATAATTCTGAGGTTTACCTTTATTCACACTTCTCAATTTAGGTGCCATACCCTGATAATGAAAAAAATTTGCCTATTTTGGGATATGGTAACACATACATATAATATGTATATAAATAATAATAATTAATAGCTGTTTAATTCATTTTAAACCAATGTGACATATCTCCAAAATGTAATCTGGGGAAGATTTTTGATTACAATAAATGAGAAATCATTATGCATGATGGATTTTTCTCCAAAATAGGCTAGAGATAGAGTACATGGGATAAAGTGCTTGTCATGCACTGTGAGCAACCCCAGGTCAATCTCTGGTACCATAAATGATCCTCTGAGCACAGAGCCAGGAGTTAAGACTTTAGCATGAGATGTAACACAAACAAAAAAAAATTGCAGCTTATATTGCTAAAAGGAATACAACTAGCATTTTAGTAAATGGATATTGTTACTGTATTATAAGCTTAGAAACTACAGTTATACATGAGATGGCTTTTAATAAACCTCCTCAGAATTTCACTTAAATCACCAGGAGCCTAATAGAAACAAAAACAAAATTTAAAAAAGTTTAAAAATATAAAATTTCTTTTATTATTAACACTGGAGGAAAACTCAAACAATTATTTCCATTTTCTTTCACCTACTTTTCCTGGCATTTAACAAATTCCCTGACAGTAAAGTACTGAAAGTGAAAGGGAAAGCAATCAATTGGTTTTCTGGAGATTTTGTAATTAAAATTATTTCCTCAAGTACTAGTGAGAAGTGTGTGTTTGCTGATGTGTGACATAGAGCAGGTCAGAGGAAAACAGGGAGGATGTGTTATTTAAAAAATCTCAGGTCCAGGGGCTGGAGCGATAGCACAAGGGTGAGGGCGTCTGTCTGACGCACTGCTAACCAGGCTTCAGTCCCCGGAATCCCATATGGTCCCCCAAGCACTGCCAAGAATGATTCTTGAATGCAAAACCAGGAGTAAGCCGTGAGCATCGCTGGGTGTTACCGAAAAAGCAAAAACACCTCAGGTACAGAGAAAGGTTGCTTCCTTGAATACATCCAACCCATATTCAATCACTGGCACCATATATGCACCCCTCCCACAGCTAAGCACTGCTGAGGGTGGCCCAAAAGAATCTTAAAAAAATAATTAGTCAAAGAAATTAGATTACTCAGTGTATCATTAGCTATTAAGGGCAACTAGAAATAAATTGGGGTATATGTGTGTTATGGGCTGGAGCGATAGCACAGCAGTAGCGCGTTTGCCTTGCATGCAGCCGGCCCAGCACAGCCGGGTTCGATTCTTCCGCCCCTCTCGGAGAGCCTGGCAAGCTACCGACAGTATCTCGCCTGCACGGGAAAGCCTGGCAAGCTACCCGTGACGTAGTCGATATGCCAAACAAAGTAACAAGTCTCAAAATGGAGATGTTACTGGGCCCACTCAAGCAAATCGATGAACAATGGGAGGACTCTATTTCTATATGTCTGTTATATCTTACAAAACTAGCACTGTGCTAGAAAAATACTTGTAATTGAGAAGTTTCAAAACTGTAGTCTTAGCCAATAAAAATACCTGGCCAAAAACAAAAAGTCTGTTGCATTTTTGAAAGCAAGTGGGAGCAAACTCAACTGATATAGAAGAAAACTAGAAACTCCAAGTAGAAAAATCTAGGGAAATAAAGATAATAGAAATAGGTAGTAACGAATACTTTATCTAGACATCAGATTTTTAAAAGTGGCTCTAAACTCACTTTAGTGGATGGATAAATTTAATAATTCAGGGATTAAGACATTTGCCTTAACAGTTGACAAAGCCCAGTTTGATTTCAGACACCACATAGGGTGGCCAGAGACTCACCGTGAATGATCCTTGAGCTTACAGCTGCCAGCAATATAGTGCTGAGCACAAGCTGGGTGCGCCCCCACCAAAATACAACTCGCTTCTAAATAATTTAAGATTAAAATTCCGCTTATAAATGTTTCTCTATTAAAGTACACGCTTTAATACATTATTGTCCATTGTTTCCTTTACTTCTATGTGTTCAAAATTTTACAGTTAGCAAATAATTAAAGGTATCATTTAAAATCAAAGTCTTATTAAAAGAGCTTAGTTTAAAACCACTGACTGCCAAATGATTTAAACTTAACCCATTTCTAGGATTGGTGAGAGCACAGGCATAGGAGTTGGGGTACTGGCACACCACTGACAAGGCTTTGATACTTGGCATCTCATGTGGTCCCCCAAACACTACTAAAAGGGATTTCTGTATGCAGAGCCAGGACTTAAACCGTCATGAATGGGGGGATGAAACTAAATACATTTCTATCTGATTTTTTAACAAATTCCTTTATCGTCTCTATTTTCAAAAACTTTTCAATCCGTATGTTTAATACATTTTCTTCCTCTCTAATGCTAATGAATTTCCAGAACACATGTTTTGCCACAAACTCGAAATCAACTTAGGAAGTAGCAAAAACGTTTCTGAAACTAATATAGCCTTCATATGGTTTGAGTCATAATTACAGCCTCCTAAAAAGGTAAAGTAGGAAATTAGAGGGAAAAGATTCTAGCATTTTTGTCATGAAGAAGAAAGTGGAAATAATTTTATTTTTAGAAAACCAATTAATTGAAGCACCAGGAATAAAATAAGAAGAAAGGTATGGCAGGCGTAAAAAGTATGCTGAGCAACCTGATCATTTATATTTGCTAATATTTGATGGATCAAACTTTAACCACATTGATGCTGGTGCACACAACCCGTGGCTCACACTTGAATAAGGCTTGATTAACACAACTTGTGGAGCCCACATCAATGCGCTAAAGTGTTTTCAAACTGATAGGCACTCAGGGGATGCTTTACTTTGAAGAAGCCTTACTAAATATAAATGGTCAGACATTTTAAAAAGCATTTAAACAAAGTGACGATAACTTAAAAACAAAATTTACCACTTGCTGGAGTCTGAGTTGTACACCAACCCATTGATTTCATCACAGCTTTCTTCCACGTAGAATAACGGATTTCACTTTCTAGAATGAAATGAAAAACACACAAAAGAAAGGCAATTTACAGAGATGACCATACTTATGTTCACCCAGCATTCTTGACAAAATACTACACACGGTACACAGAAGTGGGTTCCGTTAGGACTCGGATTGGGGCAAGTACGGTTGCTAGCAATTGAGGGAGATGTGATAGCACAGTAGTAGGGTGTTTGCCTTGCACGCAGCAAGCCCGGCCTACCCAGGTTCGATTCCTCGCCCCTCTCGGAGAGCCCAGCAAGCTACCGAGAGTTCCTCGCCCACACAGCAAAGCCTGGCAAGTTACCCATGATTTATTCAATATGCCAAACACAGTAACAAAGTCTCACGATGGAGACATTGCTAGGACTGATCGAGCAGATCAATGAACAATGGGAGGACAGTGCTACAGCGCTACAGTGCTTGCTTAGAAGGTGGAGGAATGACATATCATAGATGTGCAGGTGACCAGAGAGCTAGAGAGGCAGCGCACGATGACAGGAGTCATTTCCAGCCGGTGGTGTTGAACCTACAAGAAGGAACTGCAACTGCTATGTTCTCTCTTAAGGTCACGTTAAAATTGAGGAGTGGTAGGTGATGATGTGGGAAAGCTCAAAAGACAAATTTTTTATTCAGCTAAAATATATTTAAAAAATTGGGGTATTTTTAAAAATATTACAATATTCCTGTGAGACAGGATTTCTTAAAGAAAGCAATCAGGAACAGGAAAGAGCACTGAAGCAGGAGAGCACATGTACAGCATGAATTCCTAACATCCCCAGGACCTCATATCTTTAAATGTGGCTGAATAGTCACTTTCATGGCCCGGAAGTGTCACTGAGTATGAGACTTTTCTAGAAAGTTAAGCAGCATGAAGATCAAACAAAATGGGGAACTAGTATATGCACGCACTGTATTCCTTGTAAGGATACTGAAGTACGCATGGGGATAACCTTCTTTCAAGTTTCCAAGCCTTTTCCACAGAAAGCTTTTGGACTTTCCACTGCACTGAATGTACGTCTCACCACACCAGCTACCTTAGTGTATTTTCTTTGTGCTTTGAACTTCTTGCAATATGCTTGAGTCTCCAGGTGAGTAAAGAGTTACTCACCTCGATAGACTCATCAGTACAGTTTCTGACCATTGATATTCTAAACAAATGTCTGTTACAGGGTGACTGCACCTTAGCAGCTATTTCTGTCTGACTGTAAGGTATCTGGTTCTGGTGAAGGGAGTGACTCACAAATCGAAGCACACTGATAGAACTAACCAATGATCTATGTGCCTTTGGAGATAACAAAGAGGGCCTGAAATAAGTAGTACAGGGCATAGGGCATATGCCTTCCACACAGATGACCCAAGTTAGATCCTTGGCACCATACACTGTCCACCAAGCTACCAGGAGTGATGCCGAGACACAGAACCAGCAGAAAGCCCTCAGCACTGCCAAGTGAGGCTCGAAAACTAAAAGAAAAGAAAGTCACAGTTTGGAGCCAGAGCACAGCAGGTAGGGACTTTGCCTTTTACAGTCAAAGATGGTTCAATCCCCAGCACTGCATCCCCAGTCCCCAGAGCCCAAGAGGCACCCCTGGGTGCAGAGTCTGGAGTAAGCCCTACCTGCTATGGCCCCAAAAAATGAAAATAAAAAATTTAAATATAAAGAAAATAAAGACATGGCATTTGTTGAAAAGGACAACGATGGCTTTTCTCAGAAAATAGGAATCCAGGAATTGGGTGAAGGCACTTATCTTGCAGTGAGGTTGATCCTAGGCACCTCATATTTCATTTCACTTCATTTTATTTTTTTCTTTATGGGTCACACCTGGCGATGCACAGGGGTTAATCCTGGCTCTTCACTCAGGAATTACTCCTGACGATGCTTAGGGGACCATATGGGATGCTGGGAATCAAACCAGAGTCACCACGAGCAAGGCAAATGCCATACCCGCTGTGCTATCTCTCCAGCCCCCCTCCCCCCCCAGCACATCATACATTCTCCAAAGTACCACTAGGGGTAAGAGACTAGACCCTAAGAATTGTTGTGTGTATCCCCAAACTCAAAACAAAAAGAAACCAAATTGCAGTGTAGAATTAGCAGCTGGAGATCATATAAATTGCTTTGAACATACTTTTCTTCCTAAAAATATATTTTTCAGAAGTAGAAATGCTTTTTGAACTACTTATTTTTTTATCCAACATTGCAAAAGTTAAAAGGTACAGCTGGAATATCAGTTTTTGAAACATTTTCACACCATGGCACATACATGGGCTAGATAATGAGATAAAATGACTGGCAATACAATTCATTTTCTTGCATATTGTAATAAATAAAATTTAGGCATTATTAGATATTGTATTGTCTTCCAGAAATTTTAACAAAAGTGGATGTGAAAATTTATTTCCTAATAGCTAAAAATCCACTTGAAGGCTAGTTAGGCATGGGTTTTTAAAAAGCTAAAAGCCCAAAATTCAAATTATGAAATCTTATTTTTGTACTCACGTTCATTTCAATTTAAGAGATAGATCACAGGGGCCGGAGTGATAGTACAGCAGGTAAGGCACTTGCCTTGCACGCGGCAAAGCTGGGTTCGATCCCCGGCACCATATATGGTCCCCCAGGAGGAATGCAGAGCCAGGAATAAGCCCTGAGCACCACCGGGTGTGGACCAAAAAAACATAAAAAAACAAAAACAAACAAAAAAAAAAGAGATAGATCACTATATTTTAATATAGGTGTTGGTTAGAACTTGTGGTTTAGCTTAGTTTGTTAGGAAATGAATGACATATTTAATTGTTATTGGTTTAAATTTTTAATTAATTTTAAATATGTTTTAGTCAAGTTGATTCTACCACCCTTATCAGTTACCAGAGTTGGAGTGGGATGAGAGATCAAGGGGCTAGAGTGCATTTTGCATGCAGGAGACCAGGGATTAACGTGCCCCAACAGTGTATGGGTTCATGTTAACAATGAAGAGTAGCCCCTGAGCACTTCTGGGTGAGATCCTAAATCACCCTCCCATCATGAAAAAAATTATTAATGTTCCTCAGTCTTACAGCCAGGCCATTGGCATCAAAGGTGATCAGGTGACTAGGGGTGGATGGCCTATCTCTGTCCATCTCTGTCTCTCCCTCACCCCTTCTCTCCCTGGGGTGCCAGGCAGGGATTGGACTCTAGGGTCTCACAACTGCAAGACATGTGTCTCTCCACTTGAATCATATTCCTGGCCCTTCTCATTGTATCAAGCTTGAAACAACAGTGGCAGTGTTATCCTTCCATAAGAGGGCTGTAAACGGCTGAAAGCAATGATATAACCATGATTTTAGGATTTTGAAAAACAAAACTCATTCAATGCAGGCAAATATGCCTAAGAGCTGAATCTGAAACCTCATACTTATATTTCTTCCAATTCCTTAACCTGTCAATCAAAAGATAGGCCATGTCTTTCTCACTAGGGTCCTTTGGTCACAGGCTACCAGAAAAAGTTATATTCTTCAACTTTACCCTCAGCATTGATCTGGGGTTCGAAACGCTCCACCGTAACTGCTGATAAATCCTCAGGGTCAAGGCTCCACACGCCGACTCCTTCTGCAGCACCCGCCGCCATGGCAGCTCCCAGGGCAGTCGTTTCAGGCATGGAGGGCTTCACTGAGGGGGAGGCAGAGACATCAGCAACTTTGCAGGGACACCAGCATTCCCCCCCAAAAAAACCCCAGCTCTTCTGGGGGGTGGGAAAAACTTCTCATAGTTAAAAGGATTTACTAACCTACTGGAATATACAGAATATCTGCTTGTAGTTGCATAAGAATTTTATTGTTGGTCATTCCTCCATCTACCTGCAAATGACTGAGTGGAATTCCACAGTCGCGGTTCATGGCATCCAAAATCTTCAACAAAACAATACAATGAAACATGATTTGAGTACTTTATTGAACCATCTTGGAAAGGGGCATTCTTCTACTTACAAACCCTGAATAGAAACAGCCCAGTGATGGGGCTGTAGCGATAATACAAAGGGTAGCGTGTTTGCCTTGCACGTGGCCAACCTGGGGTCGATCCCCGGCATCCCAGATGGTAGGTACCCTCAGCACAGGAGTAATTACTGAGTGCAGAGCCAGGAGTAACCCCTGAGCATTGCTGGTTGTGAATCAAAAAGCAAAAAGCAAATAAAGAAAAAAAAAGAAGAAGAAGAAACAGCCCAGTGCTTACTGGATACCATTTAGACTTCTCTTTGAGATCTTCCAAGATCTCCTTGATCTGGTCACCGTCAACCTTTTCTCTTTTATACCTCTGCACTCCATTCATAACTGCTTTATTTCTTGCTTCCAGGCCCCAAAAGCTAAGCATGCACAACTCCATTCCCTGATATACCCCCTCCCCACATCCTCACAGCTACAAGAATCCCAGAATTTGGCAGATAATAGAAAGTTAGCTGGAAAGGACAGGAACTTCAAATTATTAGATTTAATGTTTAGGCAACCTTTAGCTTTTAATTGCGTACAAGGAAAGTACTTAATACACTTGTAAAGACTGGTAAAATTGGACTCATACTTTTAAGGCCTATGTTTGTTACCTCTCGGGTTTGGAAACAAACAGCTTCTAATGCAGCAAAAGCAACGTGGCACTTATTGGTAAATTGAGTGAGCCCACAGATGATCCTAAAATGACACACAGAAATTTGAAGATTAGATGTAAATTGATAAGTGGTTGGTATGAAATGGTCAAAAAATTATGTGAAGTGAATTTTGTAGATTAAATATACCCCAAAGCATGACAAAAAGTTTCTTTTGGAGACATACCCAGGAGTACACAGTGGTTACAACTGACTCTGCACTCGGGAATCACTCCCTGACAGTGCTCAGGGAACCGAATGGTAGGGCCAAGAATTGAACCCAGGTTGACTATGTGCAAGACAAATGTCTTACCTGCTATACTATTGCTCGGGCCCCAAAAGGATGAAAATTTACACAAATAATCATGCCCAAAAGCTAGATGCACACATAAATAACTTAGAAAGTGCTAGTTTCCAACATTGCAATGACATATGAAAAACCTCCCTCATGATCCATCTGGTTAGATGGCAGGAATCAAAATCCAAATTAATATTCACCTAGACGATGCCCTTTGCTCTGACAACATATAGACACAATAAAGGTAAAGATAATACCACTGGGACCTTAGACATAGTAAAGCAGATAAGGTAGGTCATTGCATACATTTAACCTGTGATTAGCCCCAGGCACTACATATGATCCCCTGAACACCTGTAAGAGAGATCCCTGAGCAGAGGCAGAAGCAAGCCTAGTTTACACTTTTAAGAGGTGACACACTACTGAGTATGGCCAATTCTCCCAGTATAAATACTAGGATTAATATAAATTTCCTGGGTTTATTTTCAAAGCACTTATTACTTCTTAATGTTAAAAGGTTTTGAAAGTATACTCTCCAAATAGGAAAGGTTCTCGAACACCCTAGCATCAAAATATAAAACGAATGAAATGAAATAATTTGAAAACAGGGGTTGCAGTGATAGTACAGCAGGCAAGACATTTATCTCGTAGGTGGCAAAACAAGTTTGATCCCTGTCATTCCATAAGGTTCCCCGAGACCTCCAGTATTCCCAAGTTCAGATCCAGGAATAACCCCTGAGCATGAATGTGGCCCAAAAGAGAAAACAAGAACAGTAATAATAACAATAACAATATTAGTAGTAGTAGTAATAATAATGAGAAAAGACAGAAAACTACTCATTCATAAGGTATAAGCTATTGAATTCAAGATTCACAAAAGCATACCTTATTTCCAATCCTTACCCTCTTGCACTGGGCTCCCAATAAGGTGCATATAACCCTGAAAATGCTGGCACAAAGTAGCAGCCATAAGAAGTACCTACTTCTTTAGCAAGTTTTTCTACCATGAAAAAATGAAACAAAACAAAAAACACAATTAACTGTAATAAGCTCACTTATAATAAGTTTATATACATTATGTCTAAATCATCAACATGGGGCTTTTGACCTCTTATTCATTAGAAGAGAAAAACTGTCCCAATTACAGCAGTGTGCTAAGAGCAATGCAAAATATTTCCTTACATCCATGAAAATGTAATATCCCCATCACAAGAAATAAAGGAAGTGGATTAGTTTTGATTAAGGTCTATTAGTGCGCAATGAGCTACTTTTAAGATTGTATCCACGGTATCACCAATCAAAATGTGTTTGAAGGTCTCGTTCTCAGCAACTTAAACATATATCAGAAAGAAATGAGTCCAAATGATTATCCACCAACTGAAAATAATTTTATTAATAAAGTACAGAGGCTGGAATTTTACTATTAAGCCAATCAAAGGGTAAAAGCTCTTGGTTATCTAATAAATTCAGGAGACTAGGCTTTCTTTACTCAGAAAATCTGGTAATCTTCAGTATTCAATTTTACACTGGTATTTTTCATGCCCTATCTTATAGGTGCATTAATAACCACCTGTATGTCAATTTACTGTTTTATAAATATATTTACACAGAAGTATTAACAGGTGGCAAAGACAAATGTCAAAATTTCTATCATTCATATTTGAACCATTTGGGCTGGAAAGATGGTTCAATGGACTGGAGAACATTCTTGACACAAAGAAGGCCCAGATTTATTGCCTGGCTCTGCAAATGGCCCCTGAGCACTGCCAGGAGTGAGAGCTAAGCACCAAGCCAGGAATCACTCCTGAGCGCCTCTAGCTGTGGCCCCCACAAACAAAAATAACAACACATTTCACCCTTTGCTAGAATGTACTCACCAATTTCATCTGAGGTATTTATAATTCCAAGGTTGTCTCTTAACCAGCGAATAACAGCACCAGCTATGGCGACAGACCCCTATAAAAAATACATCCATGAATATACGCTATCCTGATATACACGTTTCTGACTATATCCTTTCTGTGAATCACTCAACATAGAAAAATTTCAAAAGCTTGCAGTTGGAAAGTCTACAAGAGTCATAAACCAGGACTTTAGAAGAAATGATTAAGTTTGATCTAGATTAAGGGATTTTCATGAGATAGGCAAAGAACTGTGTTCTCCAGCATCAGCATGACCCTTTTCCTATAGGTGGTAACAACATGCTCCGTGGTTTGCCTTATGCAGGTTTTTCTGTTTATGCTCAAACTACTGGGTATCTTATCACTAAAAAGACACTTTTGATTACAGGAATGTTTTATTATGCTGATAATTCTTTCCTAATTATTCTAACAACTCTAATAGAATACTCTTCTGCTTATTTTTTTATATTTTTTATTAGTGAATCACCGTGAGGTACAGTAACAAGCTTACAAACTTCCATGCTTGCATTTCAGTCATACAATGATCAGTACCCATCGTCTACCAATGCCCATTTTCCACTACCAATGGTCCCAGCATCCCTCCCACCACCCCCACCCTGTAGCCTCTACACTACTCGCATCTGTGGCAGGGTATTCCCTTTTGCTCTCTCTTTTTTGGCTGGTATGGTTTGCAATAGAGGTATTAAGTGGCCATCATGTTTGGTCTATACTTTCAGCCCACATCTCTCATCCCAATCGCTTCCTCCTAGCACCCTTTGCTTGGTGGTCCCTTCTCTATCTGAGCTGCATTTCCCCCTATCCTATTACTATCAGGAAAGTCTGATTAAATACTAAGTGCATTTCCTGCATCTGAGAGCTCATGAAATGACTTACTAAACAAAGAAGTGAATGAACAAAGCTATTTTTTGCGACAAACATCACCAAGTGGTTGGGGCTGGAGCAATAGCACAGTGGATAGGGTGTTTGCCTTGCATGTGGCCGACCCAGGTTTGATTCCCAGCACCCCATATGGTCCCCAGCGCACCACCAGGAGTAATTCCTGAGTGCAGATCCAGGCGTAATCACTGTGAATCACCAGGTGTGACCCAAAAAGACAAAAAAATCATCAAGTATGAGAAAATAAGGATGAAAACATAGGACTTGAGTCAGGGTTTTAGGTATGTGTTTTTTCTTAATTTTCGGGACACACCTACCTGGCTTTGCTCAGGGCATATTCATAACTTTGTGAATGTCTTGGTGATGCTCAGGCTATGTGCATGGTTGTATGCAAGGCTAGCAAGTGTGTTAACCCATAGACTATATCTATGGCCCAGTACTTCAGTTATTACAAACTAAAATTGCTGTTATCTTTGCCAAACCGAGCCTTTAAATGTTTATCACTAAAATGTGGCACTGATATCCTAAACCAACTACAATGAGGGTCAGAAAATTATGAGGTTCTAAGAGCAATCAAACAGCAGGTAGGGTGTTTTCTAGATTTGCCTCTGATCCAAGTTCAAAGCCCAGAATTTCATTGTTCTCCAGAGCCTGCCCGGAGTAATTACTGAGTGCAGAGCCAGGAGTAAGCGAACAGCACCCCCAGGGATGTCACCAGAACAAAACTCAAAGAAGGAAATAAAAATATAACTCACGCTGTGGTCCCAGAAGATGTAAATTTTTGCAAAAGGACTGTTTTGTCACTAGTGAAGTGGAAGGTTATTAGAAAACAAAAGACTTATCTGAGAGAAATATTTTAATATTGGTGTATCAGTTAACCTTTGAAAAATTAATAAAAGAAAAGGAAGGCCTCAAATTCACAGATGACAAGATGGTCTCAATTCTGAGGCAAGAAAGAGTGGAAAATGGTCAACTTCAGCTTTGAAGATGGGCAGGAAACTGAAAAGAAAAGCAACCTTAAAAGATAGAAGGGCACTCTACCTACTTTCAATCACATCCTCCGGAGAAAGACCTAACTCCTCAGTGAATCAACTACAAGTATGACTGGATCCTTGTTTTTAAGTCACTGCCCACCGGGAAAGCTATGCTGAAGCTATATAGTTATACTCTAAGAAAGAAAGACATAACCAAAATGAGAGCATACAAACAAGTAAACAATGAATAGATAAGTGGAATGAATTGTTTGAAATCTAGATAAATAGGGGGCGAGATATCAAAGAATGGGTAGATCTCATTGGGGTGGGGAGGACAGGACCGGCTCCACTCCCATCCCGTGAGGCCCAAAATGTATTGTCACTGCGGGCCCAAACCTGACTGTCCAATGGCCTCTGGAGGATGACAGCCACCGAGCCACCAGGGAGAAGCAGGCAGAGGGGCAACACCCTTTCCCCCCCCGGGGGTGGCCCGGCGACAGTAACCTACTGTAGGGTCCAGATGCATTTCAGACTTGAGCAGATTTTGGCAGAAATCCCTCCAGATTTAAGTGTTAAAATTTCAAATTTCAAAATCGCACGGCCACTACTGCAGGCATGCGACATCATATGTTATTCTTAATCAGCAATAGAAAACTGTTGCCTTTTCAGCAGATCTGAGTGTTTGGGTAAAATCCCAAATAATAAAGGTGGGTCTGGTGTGAAAATATTGAATGTGATCAAAGTAGAGAGAGAGTAATGTGAAAATCATCTGCCCCAGGTAGGGGGAGGGTGTGGGATGGGAGTATACTGGGGTTGTTGGGGGTGGAGAATGGGCACTGGTGAAGGTACGGGTGTTTCATTGGATGAACAAGACTTAGGCCCAAAAGCTTTGTAACTGCTCTCACGGTGATCCAATAAATAAAATTATAAAAAAGGAAAAAAAAATAGGGTGGAGTTCATGCACAAATCAATCAGCTAATCAGTGGCTGAATAAAAAGCAGTACTCCTACATTAAAAAAAAATGGGCGCCCACTCCTCTCTGGAAAGAAAGATGGCAGCCGCATGGGAGCCTTGTGGACAGCAGATATGAGCCAGGGGTGGGGGGCGACAAAAACCTTATGGGAAGGGGGGCGTTCCAGCCCGTCGTTCATGCCCTACCTAGGTCACCAGTTGCCCCCCATGAGCGGCTCTCTGGCACGGCCATGACTCCAGAGCACAGAAACCAATCTCTTAATTATCTGACTTTTAGTAGAAATACTTCCAGGGTTAATAAGTAAAATAGCAGAAATCCAAAACCGCGCGGCCATAATAGCGGCCGCACGACAACATTTAATTCTTGAACCCAGCTGTAGAAAGCAAATCATTTCACAACGCTTTTTCAGTATTTCTGATTTCGGGGGGGGGGGGGGGGAACTCTAAATAATAATGGTACATCTTTTATCGAAACAATGAATCTAGTCAAAGTAGATAGAGTGTTAACTAGAACTCATCTGCCTCACAGGAATTGGGAGGGGTGGGAGGTGGGGTTCTATTGGGGTTCGTGGTAAAAAATAAGTATTGGTAAAGGGAAATGTGTTTGATATTTACATGACTGAGACCTAAACCTGAAAGCTCTGTAACTTTTCCCACAGTGATTCAATAAATAAATTATTAAAAAAAAGAATGGGTAGGATGCATCCTTCATGTGGTCCACCCGGGTTTCAATCCCCACATCCCATGTTCTTCTAGGAAGAGACAGGACAAATCCTTAGGTGTGTCACCCAGATGTGACACACCCTTTACCCCTGAGAAAAAATAAAGAAAACCTAGACAAATCATGAAGCAAATGAACGGCAAAGAAAAAAGTTATGGGGAGATGATATTATGAATAAGTTAGTAGTGCCACAGAGATATAGTGCCGGGGACCGAACGTGGGTCTCTCACATGTAGGACAAGTTGCTCTACTCACACAGTACTATCTCTCTGGGGAAACTCTCTCTTAAAATAATTTATTTTTGTTTTCTAATAACAGGTTATGTTTTTATTCTCTTTTTTGTTTTGCATCAAGCACTATTTCTATATTATTTTTACAATCAGTAGGTTTTTTACTTCCAGAATCCTTAAAAATGGTCTATACTTGTGAGTCTTATTATTTCATAAAAATTTTTTTCTTTGTTTCAAGGAGGTAATGTGGAAATGCACAGTACAAAATGTGGGAGGCAGCATAGAGAAACAGATCTGAAAGTGTTAGGGTACAGGAATGAGCCCATGTTTCATATATATATATGAAGCCTGGGGTTCAATCCATAACACCAAAATAAATTCTAAAAAAACATAAACAAAATTATTTTAAAATGTCAAAAGGTTAACTAACAAAAAAATAAAGAAAATTTCAAAAGGCAATTTAAAAAGTATTTAAAATACAATGTGTGAGTTTTTTAAACACTAAAATACTTTTGAAGTGAATTACACATATATTTAAATTAGGATAAAAAATGCATTGAGGGTGAGTGTGAAGTTTTCAGTAAGCATAAAATAGCCATTTCAGAGATAATGGAAATAATGATAAAGAAGCAGTGCTTGAAGAAAAAGAGGCTGAAAGTTTTCTAGATAATAGACATACCTGTATTCAAGTAAATATAGGGTAAGTGAAAATAAATCCAAACCCGGATAAATCATAAAAAGTGATGGAATATCAATGGTAAAGTAATCATATTAAAACAAGCCAAATTATCTACAAAGAACCTATATTTAGATCACAGAATCAGAGGTCTCATCAGCATCAAAACTGGCCAACAGAGATGTGGGAAAAACAGTTAGCTCGGATTCGAAACTTAACTCTCAAATAGCCCTCCACTCCCACCCCACTAAGAGGGCAAAATAAAGACAAAATAGGCTTCCTATAGAAGACTATCCGTAAGAAAACAAATGATATCTCTCAAAAAGAGAAAATAGGGATGGGACATAAAAGGCCTGGGACCAAAGTTAATAAAATCTGACTATCGACTGAGAAGGAAACAGTACTAATAACTGTTTAGTGAGTACAAGAAGAAAATGAAGATCATACACGCAACAACATGATAGATGGTGGAAATGATGGGGTTAATAAAGCAATTGAGTCCTCATGTAATTTCATTACAAATACCTATGCTGGGAATGTGACTCAATGGTTAAGCACATGCCTTGCATGAACCCTTGATATTACCTCCCACCAAAATAAGACAAGAAAATTAAAAAATGAGAGATGCACAAAAGTGCTGAAAAATATAAATTTTGTTAGTAAAATACATATGGTTAGCCAATATTTTCAATATGCAATCTTGTCCATGGGCTGGAGTAATAGCACAGCCAGTAGGGCATTTGCCTTGCACACGGGGGACCCGGTCGAGCTGAGTTCAATTCCTCTGTCCCTCTCAGAGAGCCCGGGCAAGCTACTGAGAGTAACTTGCCTGCATGGCAAAGCCAGGCAAGCTCCCTGTAAAATATTCGATATGTCAAACACATTAACAACAAGTCTCACAATATTACTAGGCCCGCTCAAACAAATTGATGAACAACGGGAGGACAGTAACAATGAATCGTATCCACAAGAACAAAACAAAAAAAAAGAATTTCTGTTCATTCCAACGCAGATGAAAAATGAAAGACTTTAAGAGGAAGATAAGTGAGCTGGAGTGATAGTATAGGCATGTGCCTTACATCTAGCTACTCGAAGTTCACTCCCTGGCATCCCATATGATCCCCCAAACACCAACAGGAGTAATTTCTGAGTGCAGAGCCAAGAGAAAGCCCTGAGCATTGCTGGGTGTTACTAAAAAGAAAAAAAAAAGGAGGAAGATAAGTTATACTTTCAGTTTTTATTGGCTACAAAATAAAAAATTATTTCAGGTTTCTAAATTAAACAGCAGCATGTTAAAATACAGAAAACAGGGATCATTTAGGGCATTGGTCTTCTATGCAACCAATAATGGTTAGATCCCTGATACCACATATAGTCCCACCAGCCTCAGAGGAGTTGATTACTGAGTGCAGTGTCAGGAGAAACTAAGCACCACAGAGAAAGAAAGAAATAGGGATATGATCCATAGTACAACAGGGTGGCTGGAATCTCATAAGATCCACTGAGCACTGCCATGAAGATTTCCTTAGTGTAGACCCAGGAGTAACCGGTGAGCATTGCCAGGTGTGACCCAAAAAGCAAACTAAGGAAGGAAGTTAGTTCGAGAAAATAAAGAAAATATTAAACATGTTCAGGGAGCAACATGATTAGTAGAATTACTATGAATTTACTGCATAAAGTATTATCAATGAGGCCTGAGTGCTAATACAACAGGTAAGGTATTGCCTTACATGTGGCTGAACCAGGTTCAATCCCTGGGAGCCTATATAGTTCCCAGAGTGATCCATGGTAAAGCCCAAATACATACAGACACAAAAAAACTACTTGGGATCAGAGAAATTCTTCAGCAGGAAGGGAACTTGCCTTGCACACAGCTGTCACAAGTTCAATAACCGTCACTGTCACTGAGGACTGCCAGGGGTGATCCCTGAGCACAGAGTGGCAAGTAAGCCCTGAGCACCACGAGGTGTGTTCCCCAAAACAAGAAGAGTATTACAAATCTACTTTTATATTATGCCCACTTTTATGGTTTAATTTTTATAGTTCACTAACAATTAAAATTAGAAAATATAAAGTATTCAACCTCTCTTGGGTGTCCCTATTTCCAGAGTGGTCCCAAGATTTTTTCCACACAAATACCAAGAAGAAGACTGAGTTTTTTGAGTCTTATCAGGAAAGGGGTTAGAAGACAGTGGAATTTTCATTAGCTTTGGGTATTTGAAAATTAATTCATACTGCCTTAAAGAACATACCTCCAATGCATAATATACTGGTTTGTCTCTACCAAGTTTGTAAGCAACTGTCGTTAGTAGGCCATGTTCAGAAAATACACACTGTAGGAAGGAGAAAAAAGGATTTCAACATTAAAGATATGACAATTGCTTTTAAATTTATAATAATTTAGGTAAAAGAATACACAAGAAATAAATCTTGATGGCCAAAATCTGCAGTGTTAAAATATATTTAAACTGCATCAAAAGTTCAAACATGATCCAGATTAGATTTGCATTGAAAATCTGATGATCCTCTTTTATATTATTGCAAAGATGTAATTACAGTCAATATTCAAAGAACCTATCTAAACTGGATCTTTCCAGAACCATTTAAATTTGATGCCTTTTGCCCCTTACATTAAGATATAATTTAAACACTAGATATTATTAAAAGCTGCATTCTGAAGTATGATTAGTAGCAAATTATGCTCAAAAACTATTTATACAAAGTTAAAGACTTTAAATAATGTTTTAATTTGGAATAAAAAAAAAACCAACCTTGCGGCCTGTATTACATAGTAAGAAACAGCCAGTTCCATACCTATAGTTGGAGGAAGAAGAATAAACAGGATGAGTTTTATTGAAAAGTAAACAATGGAATATTAATAATACAAAATGATGTCAACTGACATTTAAATAACAAGTCATATAAAATTTTAGAAATTTCCAAAGGTAACAAATTTCAAAATTTTAACAGGTAACGAGAAATTGAAGATAACAATTCTCTTTTTGGAATATGTTTGAAAGGCAAGAAAGAAAAACATTTACTGCAATCTTCTTAGGAAAATACAGGTACAGGGATACCTCCTCTTATTTGCCCTTTAACTTTACTGCACTTAACAGATGTGTTTTTTATACATCTCTCCTATAGAGAAAAATGATGACTCTTTGAAGCCTCAAGTGATTATCATTTTTAGCAATAAAGCGTGTGTAAATTAATGGATGTACATTGTTTAAAAGACATATTTCATACATAATAAACTAATGGAGAGGTAAACATAGGTTTCATATGTTCTAGGAAAGGAAAACCTTTATGTTACTTGATTACAGAGTTCTGGAATTAAACCTACCCTATCTCAGAGGTGTGCCTGAAAAGTATTTCATGCTCAGTCATAAGCATGACATCAGGGCTGTCTCTTAAAGACTGAATTAGAACACATCCTACATTAAAGTGACTGTTATTAACCTATATGACAGGAAACATCATGATTAAAAATCACCCACTGACAACTGAGCAGGTAAATGCTGTCACTATAAAGTAATCAAAGAAACATTGTAAGTTTTCCAGCCTGGAGGAGGCTGGGGTGAGAGTGCAGACAGTGAACCTCATGGGGACAAGCCTCGGACACTGGGGAGGGTTAATAAAAACCTCGCTTCCCAATGCTCTGTAGAACAGGGCACAGAGAATGCCAACAGTGATGGGTGCCAGACAGTAACAGCGAACATGGGGCCGCTGGGTTCTTCAGTAGTAGCCTTATCAGCATAAGCTTCAAACTCTGCAACAAATCTGGCACTTGGACACTGGCCGAGAGGACTTTTGACCTGTGCCAGGCAGATAAATGGCCAAAACTGATACCAGTAAGGGTCACAGGGAAATATTTTTCAGCTGAGTTGACCGCTACCCTTAACTCTTCTCAAGCTCTTTAGCCCTGTCTAGGGCAGGGGTGCCTTTCCTTTGTGCCAGCTCTACTTCCTGCAATGCACCACATCCCCAGCCCATTCTGTGCGCTGAGACATTGTGGATATGGCAAGAGTGGGACCCCTCAGTTCAGAGCCAGGCAGACGACACCTCGCAAATGCTGCTCAGCAGCCAAATTGTTTTATGGCGCAAATCGAAATCAAGTGCAAGCTCTGCTCATGAGCTTTCAGCTACATCCGTTGTGCGTTGAAAATTAGTTTGAGCCTTTCATTCTCCTTGCCCCAATGTAACTCAGTGTGCTTAAAAGAGCAATGACACGAAAACTAGTTGCAGGTCTTAAATGAGTCAGAAAGAGAGGGACAGACATAGAAAGATTGCATTCATCTGGCTAACATAAAGTAACAAAATAAGAGACTAACACCCGAGAACAGCTGTGATAAATACCAGGTTGTTCACTCCATGGCTTAGAGGCCAGCCACACACTCCAGGGGTAAAGGCAGCTCAGATAGAAAAGGGAGAACCAAATAAAGGGTGCCAGGAAGATCTGCCTAGGATGGGAGATGCCTGCTGAAAGTAATCTATGGACCTAAAATGATTGCCACCCAATGTCTCTTCTGCAGAACACAGCACCCAAAAGGAGAGATAGAACAAAAGGGAGTGCCCTGACAGAGGCAGTGTGGGATGGGGGGGTGGGAGGGATACTGGGATTGTTGGGGGTGGAGAATGGGCATCGGTGGTGAGATGGGTACTCGATCATTGCATAACTGAAACCCAAGCACAACAACTTGTAAGTCTACAACTGTACCTCATGGTGTTTCACAAAAAAAAAAAAAAGAACAACCGCAAAAAAAAAAACAAACCCCTAGTTGCAGGTCTTAATCCATGTGTTTACAAATTATAACACATAATTCTACTATTTTCTTCCACAAAGCTGAAAAAATTACGTATTTAAGTTAATCTCCATGACTATTGGTAAAAATTAACTTTATCCTGTTTCATACTTCAAAAGTAAATATTGGTACCCATTTAGCGGCTCTATGAAACTCTGTACACCAGGTGGTGTCATTTCCTTCTTAAAGTAGAAATTGACACAAAGGCTCAAGGAACTTAGTAAAACCAAATTCTCAATTTAGTATACGTAATAAGTGACTCAGGCATATTCTTGGTACAGTCAGAGATTCTCTTGCTATATTTTGGGCACAGTTTTTAAACTTTCAGTTTTTAAACTGACAGTTTTCACTCTTAATATGTATTACTACCCCTGCCAGTTAGCAATCATCTGGGGAGCTTGCAGCACTAAGAAGCATATTAGTCTTCATCACGGTTGTACTGGGGCCAGGGAGATAATAAGCGGGTAAAAGCATTGCATTGATAGCAGCTGAACAGATTTGAAGTCCTAAGACCACATAAGGCTCCTGTGAGCACTACCAGGGGTGAATCCTGAGTGTCTTCAGCTAGGAATCACCCAGGAGCACTGCTGTCTGTGATGCAACCCTTCACCCCTAGCCCCTAAAAATGACATCCTATGTTCAAACATCCATAAAGGTGTCCAAATTTTCTAACCTCACTAAAGATTGCTTACTGCTTTTTCATTGCAAATGGACAAAAATGGTGTAATGGGAGAGGGTGGGGACATTTACTGGAGTGAGAAAAGCCCTAGGACGTTGTTATACTCCTCTGTACCTCTAGTGGGTATAAATAAAGATCCGTAGGCAACAAGATGAAAAACTGCATATGATGTAAACTATTATTTGGCAGGGACACAAGTTAATGTCTTCTGAGTTGTCTATTAATGATAGTTAATGCTGGAGTCATAGCACAGCAGGTATGGCTTTTGTCTTGTAGGTGGCTGATCCGGGTTCGATTCTTCATCCCTCTCAGAGAGCCCAGAAAGCTACCAAGAGTACCCCAGTACCCCACCTGCATGACAGAGCCTGGCAAGCTCCCCGTGGTATATTCTATATGGTGAAAATAGTAACAAGTCTCAAAATGGAGATGTTACTGGTGCCCGGTCAATGAAAAAGTAGAGAACAGTGCTACACTGCTATTTAATTTTTTAATTAATTTTTTAAAAAAATTTTCGATAGCTATTTAATTTTGTTTTCCAATTTCCCCATACCTTGTGGAAATCAGAAGTAGAAGTGTCTCCTACTTCTCTTAAATACCTGCTTTTCCTCCCCCCTCCCTTGGCAATTCCAAACATTCCTGTTTCTTCAGAATCTTGTCTGGGGCCCAAGAGATAATACAGTATGCAGGGAGCTTGTCTTACAGACAGCTGACCCAAGGTCAATCTGTGTGCTGCTCTGAGCCCTAAAGGCCTAATCCTCAGTGCACAGCCAGAAGTAAGCCCTGAGCACTGGCAGGTGTGTCCCTGTTCCCAAGCCAACCCCCCCAAAAAAAACCCCAACAAATAAAGCCCAATCTATAGAAATATGGAAAATGAATCACATCTCCTTTTACACAAAACTCGATCCTCTTTTCCAAATGTAAAAGGTAAAAGGTAAAGGCCCTCCCGTTGATCGTTGATTTTGCTTGAGAGGGCCCAGTGACGTCTCCATTGGAGACTTTGTTGTTACTGTGTTTGGCATATCGAATACTCTTGGTAGCTTGCTGGGCTCTCCGAGAGGGGCGGAGGAATCGAACTCGGGTTGGTCATGTTGGCCGCTTGTAAGGCGAACACCCTACCGCTGTGCTATCACTCCAGCTGTATGTAATATATTATACGTTACCAGTACTCCAAACAGAACCCAAGCAGAAATTTTCCTACTCAGAGGAATTCGAATTTTTGCTTAAGTCTGACCACTGCAGCTAGGTGACTCAACTCCTTATCTCTGCCTTTCTCTATTTTGCCTACAGTGCCAGGGACATCCAGCCACAACTTGCACTGTACTCTGACCCTGTCCCTTTAGTCTTTGCCCCTGTTACCCTGATGCTGTAAGTGAGCCCTTCCCCATGGCCTTGTCTTAGTCCCCTCCCTCTGCCTTAATCTCCTCACTTTGCCCCAAGATTATCATATGATTAACATACAGGTCAGTTACTTTTGAACCCCAGCTCACACATCTTCAGAAGATTCCCTCTACCTATCAAGAAAAAACCTTGCTAGTACGAGGGCTGGAGAGACAGTACGGTCGGTAAGGCTCTTGCCTTACACACTGAAGCATGACAGAGGGTCCTCCAAGTCTTGGAAGAAATTATCTCCAAGCACAGAGCCAGGAGTGATCCATGAGCAATACTGACTGGGTTTGGGTCCCAAATAACCAGACACAAAAACCTAGTCAGTTTTAAAAAATCACAGCTTGACAACACAGTTCTAGCTTTATTTTCTACCACTTGCCACCCAAAGAGCCTCGGTATTCTCTACACCAAGTTTTGGATTTTTTTTTTTTTGCTTTTTGGGTCACACACTGTGATGCTCAGGGGTTACTCCCAGCAGTGCTTGGGGGACCAGATGGGATGCCGGGGACTTAACTTACGTCAGTGCAAGGCAAATCTCCTACCCACTGTACTATTGCTCTGGCCCCAAGTTTTGGATTTCTTTATTTGGATTTTAGAGTTCTCTGCACCTGCATTACTGCTCAGGTTTCAAAGCATTTCATTACTGCCCGACGCATGCTTCACTCTCTGCTCTGGTTTAAATTTGGTTAAAAGGATTTGTGATCTTTTCCAATAATCTTAGACCTTGCTATTTCCCTACTTCAATGTGGAAGGTTGGCTGTAGATGAACTCACCCGAATGTCCAAACTAAAAAGTCATCACTTTAGGACTTTGCAGCTGCATACTTAAGCGGAGGGTAAAGAAGGAAAATGAGGCACTTGTATTTGGTACATCTCCTTGTGCTATGTTCCTGTCAAGTACATGACAAATAGATCCCACACTTGATTTACTTAGCACTAGTGTCCTGGGCAGGGAGGAAACGATGGATAGTTTTTTGTCATTTCTCTTGACTGAATTTAACCACCTAAGAACGAAAATTCAAAGAATGTTTCCAGACTCACACTAACCCAGATCTCTTGATCTTCACCTTAGATATGAACATCTGCAAAGAATTTTCCTAGCTCCTCTCCTCCCCCTCACCACCTCTCACACAAATAGCATCTCACTCTTGCATAGGACCATGACCCCATTAATTGACAAGAGCATCTACTTCGCAATGCTCGGCATTCCTTTATTCACAACAGAGAAACAGCCACTAAGATTAAAATGAATCAGAGAATAAGACGGCCTCAAGATTGACTGTATTATAGGAGCAGAGTATATGGAAGTCATTGAGAAACCTGGCTAAGGTAAAGGAGACAAATATGAATGCAAACACTGTTCAATCTATCTTAGGAGCAGTTTTCTCACCTGACAGTGAATACTACTTTAGAAGCGGGGCTTTATGGGCTGGAGTGATAGCACAGCGGGTAGGGTATTTGCCTTGCATGGGGCCAACAAGGGTTTGATTCCGAGTATCCCATATAGTCCCCAAAGCACCCCCAGGAGTAATTCCAGAGAGCAGAGCCAGGAGTAACCCGTGTGTATTGCCAGGTGTGACCCAAAAAGCAAAACAAAAAAAGGGGGGGCGCTTTTTACAGGCTGTGTGTGTTGTAAGAACAGATTAGGAGAGAAAATAAACTACTTCCATCATTCTACTTTCAGGACAAAAAAAGTGGCATAAAACTTGTATATTTGAGCTGAGAGAACAAAATCAAGAATAATATGGAAGTGAGCTGGAGCGATAGCACAGTGGGTAGGGCATTTGCCTTGCATGTGACCAACCGAGGTTTGATTCACAGAATCCCATATGGACCCCTGAGCACTAGCAGGAGTAATTCCCGAGTGCACAGCAGTAACCCCTGTGCATTACTGGGTGAGACCCAAAAACAGAAAAAAGAATAATATGAAAAAGGTGTGGGACAGATACAGTAGAGAAGGGATGGCAATTGCCTTTCATCTGGCTGACCCATGTTCGATTCCTGGCACCCCATATTGTCACCTAAGCCCTACCAGTAATGCTTTCTAAATGCAGAGCCAAGAATAAGCCCTGGGTACTACCAGGTATGGCCCCAAAACAAAGAAAATGAAAAGAGAAAAATAATATGTCAAAACTTAAGGCTGTTCCCTCCACTCAGATATGGCCTCTCCTGAAGCAACCTCTCTCCAAATAGCACCAATATAATGAACTTTTGTTTATTTTCTGGATGGAAAAGTACTGACTTTTGTAAATGAAAATCTTTACTAGGTGGATTGCTGTGAACACAGGGCATAGTGTTTTGCATTTGAAAATGATTTTCGGTAATTAAGACACACTCAAGTTTGAGCCAGTGGTGGTAAGTGCCAATATTAACATGTCGTATATTTGAACTGAGAGAATATAATCAAGAATAATATGGGCCAGAGTGGAAGACCTCTGTTCAATCCTGGGTAACCTCTATGGTCCCCTGAGCCATACCAGGAGTGATCCCTGAATGCTAAGTCAGAAGTAAGAAGCCCTGAGCACTGCTGGGTGTGGCCCCCAAACCAAAAAAAAAAAAAAAAAGCTAGTGACCTTTATCATGGATGAATTTCAAAAGCTTTACTTCATTCAAAATAAAATAAGGGAAAAATATACAAAAAAAATTGTGTTTTAGGTCAATTTTTAAAACTCACGTGTTTTTGGCTTGTCCATCCTGGAAACACATCTGTCCCACCAATGCAGCAGACTGGTCCCCCAAACACTTAAAGTGACAAATAAAGAACATGATGTGAGATATTAGTGTTCATTTTTGTTTTTCGTTTTAAAATAAGCAGGGTTAATTTTTTCTGTTTAATTTATCAAGGAATTGTCTCTATTTCTTGCATTCCCTCCTTTATTAATATTGTCTCTATGTGATAACAGACATGCAAAGGGAGTTGGAATTAATGTAATCAAAGGATTCACTGGCCCGCACTGGGATACCTAAGAGAAAGAACTAGCCAGTGATCCTGCTTGACTTGTATTCAATAGTTTAAGACTTTGGAATAGTGTGGTTGAAGAAAATACAGCATCTAAGGTGCTTGCCCAACATGTAGCCAACTCGGATTGAATCCTTGGCACCCCACAGTGTCCCTACCCCCAGTCCAAGCCTATCAGGAGTGATTCTGGAGTGCGGAGCCAGAAATACACCCCGAGAACCATGGGGTGTGACAAAAACATTTTAAAAAAATTGTATAATTAAAGATTGTTTAATAGACAAAAATACGATTTTGGTGAAGAGTCATATAAAATAGGAGAGGATGGCAGGAAGGAGAGCAGAAAACAGTTGCGGAGGAGGAAACTTACCCCAGATATCGGCACACCTTCCAAGGCTCCAGCTTTCTAATAAAATTTTGAAAAAGGATTATGAATAATGATAAGTGCTCGGTCCTTCTAACATAACTACAACAATGAACACATAGCACCAAGCCAGAACTTGAGGACAGACAAGACGAAGCAAGTGTTTCGATTACATGAGGGGCTTAGAGACAGATACTAAGAGGATTCCTAGAATGACAAAATGAAACATGGCATTGGAGAATGGACCCACAACACAGGACTGTGAAATCAGGAGACATGGATGATATATTCCTGGTTAGTGCTGATTCACTGTGCTGAAGCTACCCTGTGCCTCACTTTATTGAAATATAGAATCAGGACCAGACATGATTGCCAAAGTTGATTACACGTTGCTATTATTGCAGTAACTAAAAAAAAGACAAACACATCCTTTAAAATGAACATTCCAATAGCCATCAAGGCAGCATGGAACATAATTATTTTGAAAGGCTTTATTTTACCAATTATTCTTTTTTTTATCTCAATAGCTCTTAAGATCAGTAAGAAAGTGGCTGGAGAGATAGATTGCTCAATGGGGTAAAGCACATGTTTTGCATGCAGAAGTCCCAGATTCAATCCCCCAAATAGGACCAGGAGTAGCCGCTGAACAACGCTGGGTGTACCCCAAAACAAAGTATCTGTAAGATACACAAAACTTATTTAGTGTTATTATTTGTTTATGCAAGCTTCACTCTTCAATATTAGATAGGCAAGAGGAAAGCATTTTACATCACACATAGTGCTTTTTATTTTCATTAACTATGGCAACATTCTAAGATTAAAAAATGGCATTTAAGGAGTTACTACTTCAATGAAATTTTAAAGCATACATTTGCACAAAACCAGTTTTAAAAGGCTATTTAGCAATGAATTATAGTTCTGATGTCCATATCTCTTAAAATCTGGTATAATTTATTAGATGTTGCAGCCACACCTGGTGGGTTTCAGGGGACAACCAACAGGGGCACTCAGAGAAAGATGTAGTTCCAGCGATTGGACAAGCTGCCTGGGAATCAAACCAGGGAAGCTGCCATGGAAGACAAGTGTTTTAGCCCCTGTATTCTATCTCTCCAGCTCCCATAAAGCAGTTTGCACTTTGCATAAAAGATCCAGAGGAAAGAAAGAAAATCCTTGAAATGTGTGTGATAGAAGCCCTCGAAAAAAACACAGCAATAGAATTTTGGACGCAGCTCTGTTAGAATAAGTATAAGAAGAAAGCAATCTCAAATGGCTACTATGATGAAATAGAAATAGACATTGAGCATAGATATGTTAACCATTTACAAAACAGAAACTCTTTTAGAGAGCAGATATTCTTTCTTTCATGCTTTCTGCTTAATTTAAGATCCGATAGTTTTATTGAATATATGTGCAAATAGGAACTTGCAGGTGTATGTTGACGTCACTGGATTCATTTTAAATTGGGGTAGTTAGTACACGTAGGGATAGAAAATGACCATTGGTTGCCTCCTCAAAACTGAGTTTGACCTTCCAGGATGCCAAGCAAGAAACAGTATCTACTTTGAAGGACTGATCAGGAGAACTTTCTACTTCACTTTACCTTATGATTCCTTCATCTGACCATAACTTCAGCCTTTTCCCCCAGTCTGAGAAACCATCAACCCTTGTGTCCATATTCCAAACACATTTCAGGTTCCTAACCAGAATCTGGGCTCCCCAAGTTGCTGTTTCTACTACTTCCAAATTCATTTGGGTACTGCACTCCTCTCTCAGTTTTCTTATTTAAGCTTGACTGGATCATATTTCACAAAGTGCAACAAGTGATTCAAAAGAAACTCTAAATGGTAAACATGTATCGAAATACCAAAAGCTTTTGCTCGCTACTGAAATAACAACCCGAAAGCTCTTCTAGTGCTTTGCTGCCTGCAAACTGTTCCTCTTACTTCACAGGAAGGGGATTTCTGGAGAATCCCTGGGAATTTCCTCTGGTCAAGCATGCAGAAAAAGTGACAGTGCATTTCCAACTAAGTGGTCTGAAAGATTGATCAAGTTACATTTAAGATGTGTGTTTTGAACATTCTAAAACTACTTGATTTCCCTTTTATGCTAAAAGTCCAAAGTACATTGCAAAAGTACTTTATAATAGGGAACATCAGAATTTCTCGTTTTTGGTAAACTACCTCATTGGTTTTTTTTGAAACATTTTCAGTCTTAATGAAAAACTAGAAGATGAACAAAGATTAAGTTATAAAATCAATTCTAAACCTTGAGTAGAACTTATCTTTAATTTGGATGTGTCATGGAGATTCTAGGTAAATCTGTATATTTAAGGGGACTTCTGCTTGCTTCAACTAAATGGAAATGCACTGTTCTCTTTTCCAAATGAATAAGTAGTATAATTGGTGGGCAACCTACTCACCAGCCTATGAGAGATTTTCTATAGTCAGCAAAGGGGAAAAGGGGGACAGAAGGATAATATTTTAAATGCAAGAGCAAAGTAGGCCAGTTAAATGCTTTTTTTTAACCATTCAATAAAATTATGTTTCGCGAAAACTTTTTCCTCTGACCCTGTTTTAATAATAACTATAAAAGTGACCAAAACTCGGGTCTGGAGCAATAGTACAGCGGGTAGGGCTTCTGTCTTGTACACGGCTGACCCGAGTTTGATTCCCAGCATCCCATATGGTCTGCTGAGCACTGCCAGGAGTGATTCCTGAGTGCAAAGCCAGGAGTAACCCCTGAGAATCACAGGGTGTGACCCCAAAAGACAAAAAAAGTGACCAAAACCCTTCTCATATACAGTGATTGTTTCAGTTGAGGGAAAAAATCCATGTTCTCTCAAAAGAAATGATTATAAAAGAAATACTTAAGAATCGGTGTGCATACTTTAGAGAATTTACTATTTAAAAACCTATTATTAACTATAGAGTTTCTGATATCTTTCAGAAAATTTCTCATCCAGCAGTCTTCTATCACAGGGCCCTAGACTGAGCTGGTCTGCAGATGCAAGGTCAAAAATCTCTGGTCTAAACAAAATTTGTTTTACAACTCACCAGACTCATTCTTAAATTGTACCATAAATTTCAGATTTTTTGTGTGCTCCAGCTCCAGTAAGCCTCTTAGAGCAGAAGTTTACAAACTTGTTTGGGCTACTAAACACTTTTCAGGGGAATTTAAAAAAATATCACTCAGTGCCCGTTGGATATCTAACTTCTTTAAGGAACAAACAGCAAGTGACCCCTCACAGCACCTGGTTATTACTGGCTCCACGCATCTGGCGGCCCCTCACCCCAGGGTGCAGCATAGCTCATTTTAGAAGACACTCTTCATTTCTAAAGTGTAACCAGTACTAAACTAAGCATACTTCTTTTTCCTAAATTCCCTATTCTCATATTTCAGTGAAAGCAACCATCAAAATACCTATTTATGGACAACAATTACTAATCCCAAATCTGAAACAGTCTTTGCCTTCAGTTCATTTCTCATATTTTGCCAAGGTGAAAACATTTGCTATAATGAACAAATTGGACATTAAGAGGAATTTAACAGAAAAAATGAAATCAATAGATTGCAGAATACTTCCTGTAAATTTATACAGATTTTATCTACTAGGTTTATTTTGAAAAGAACAAAATGGTAAAAATATAACTATGCCTTACTAGCTTCTTAGACTATAGTCAAAAGATAAAGAATACTCCTCCCAAAAAAAGCCAATTAGAGTTCATAGAATACAAAATCAACAGTAAGGACTAAAATTTTTAAGTTATAAACTTTATAATACCAAACATTTAGTTTATATACTACCTACATTCTACATGCTACAATGCTCACATCCTACAATGCAACAAAATCGGCACTTTGAATTCTAGATAGTTACCATTAGGCCATAAATCTCAGAAGAACTCCGGACATTTGGGAGAATTTTCTGTGGAACTCCAAAAAACCTGAAAAACATTAAGTTAAGAGGGTACATCAGGGGGGCTGGAGTGACAGGCAGCTGACCCAAGGTTTGATTCCCAGCATCCCATATGGTCCCCCAAGCACTGCCAGGAGTAATTCCTGAGTGCATGAGCCAGGAGTAACCCCTGTGCAATGCCAGATGTGAACCAAAAGACCCCCCTAAAAGGGTACAAAGTACTATAAATAAGCATGGAAAATATGTATTATATAAATGCCCAAATATGTATGGAAATATCTGGAAGATAAATAGTCAAAGACATTACAAACAATTAGAAAATGACTGCATTTGAGAGTTAAATAACGCAGCATAATAATCACACTTTGATATTTAATATGCTAATCTAACTTAAAAAGTTAAAATAAAAAATAGCCAGAAGTGAAAGAACCTAAACTTCCATGAAGAATAAGCAAGACAGTTACATAATTTGGCCTACTTATTATATGCAACAACAACCACTCTTTAAAAAATTCACAGTAAGGGCTGGAGAGACAGCACAGGCTTCAGGTGCTTGCTTTGTACAGACCCGACCCAGGTTTGATCTCTTTTATTTATTTATTTAATTAGTGAAACACCATAAGGTACAGTTGTAGACTTACAAACTTTCGTGCTTGGGTTTCAGTAATACAATGATCAAATACTCATCCCTCCATCAGTGCCTGTTCTCTCAGGCAACATATGGGCCCCTACTCCCCTATAGCAGAGATCCTTCAGCAGAGAGCTAAGAATAGTCCCTAAGCACTGCCAGGTGTGGCCCCCAAACATTACATAGATCTGTGTACTGCAGGTCTATTTTAAATATATGATCAATTAATAGGCCTGTATTAAGAACATTATTATTTAATAAGACCTGCGTACTGCAGTTGAAATACCAATGAAAATTTGGCAGACCATTGACATCTGAAGGTAGTAGTACTAGATTAGATAGATGTTAATAAATCTCTGAACATCTTCTTAGGGCAAAACACAACTTACTCGCAAAGCTCTTTATCCCATTCCAAAGAGTGAATGTTGAAAAGCATCGTCCTACTTGCATTTGTTACATCCGTGCAATGGACGCCTCCATTCACTCCTCCGGTCAAACACTGATTGGAACAAAAAGGACATGTGAAATTTGCACTTATTTGCAATTAAGATAACATGTTTTTCAAGGGCAATAAAGAGCATCTAAGCATATAAAGTTAGAGAAAGGAACATCATATTTCATTTTCCAGTTTTCAGTAGGGTTTAATAGAAATCTAATGTGACCTATATTTGGAATTTTAATTTTCCTAGTAGTTACATTTCAAAAGTGTAAAGAAGGTGAAATTAATTTTAATGATACCATGCATACTAACCTATTTCACCTAAAATAGTCTTTCAATACAATAATTACTGACATTTATCTTCTTTTTTTGTACCAACCCTTCAGAATACTGTAACACTCGCAGCTCATCCTAATTCAGGATAGTCAAATAGCGACTACATTAGACAGCATAGTTCTAACTGATATGTAAATGAAAGAATCAGTTTTGCTTTGTAGGATCTGTTTCCCCAAAATAATCAGCTACATTTTTATTTTTATTTATCTTGATTTTGGCATCATACCTCGCAGAGTTCAGATGTTACTCGTAGCTCTGCACTCAGGAATAGCTCTTGAAAGTGCTCAGGGGACCATATGGGAGGACATCCTTTCCTTAATATGCTCAGAGAAGGCCCTTCTGGGGACATGTTTGGCATTGTGAACTAAGTTTCAATAAATTTTGAGGGCCACGGGTGTCACTCAGCAGCGCACATAGGTAAGCTTTCCTTGAAGCACCCTTGCATGCTGAAATTGATAATCATTTATATACCTAGTGAAGTATTTGCAATGATATCCCTGGGATATGTTCTAAGATTATCTATGGGGAGAAAAAGTATGTGAGTGTAGTTGTAAGAACTATAGTTTAAAAAACATGGCAGCTGATGCTTAAAGCTTACTGTTGCGGGTTCACGGTTGCAGAGATACACTATACTATTATGCCTTTGCTTCAAAACATACTTGAAAAGACAACAATAAAATTAACACCAAAAAGGGGGCAGAAGAGATAATACTATGAGTAGAGCACTTGGATAACTGACTAGCCTGGACAGGGTTGATCCCCAACACCCAATATGATGCCCCAAGTCTTCAGACTGATCCCTGAGCACAGAGCCAGGAGTAATTCCTGACCATTAACAATAAGAGAGAGAAATAAAGAACCCGTATGTTTAAGATATAGCTGGGAGGAACTTCAGCAATAGTACAGAGGTTATTTTCCCTTCATGCAGATGACCTGGGTTCAATCTCAGGCCCATATGGTCCCCAAGATACCAGGAGTGATCCTGGAATACAGAGCCAGGAGTAAGCCCAGAGCACCACCAGGTGTTTTACCCTTAATTCCTCCGATACATACACACACACACACACACACACACACACACACACACACACACACACAGACATCACTACGAATTGTTTGAAATGCTTGGTTAGCTGGGAAATAGTCAAATTGTTTGGTTATACTTGTTCATGTTTGGCTTAGACAAAAAAAGAATGTCAGCAATTTCCACTAGAATTACAGTTTACTTTTATTAGACAATAGTGTAACATTGAAAGTAACTAATGTTTTAAAAGTCTATGGGACATGTTAACTAGTTATTTCTTTCCCAAAAAATAGCTACTAGAAAGAAAGTACACTAAAGGTAAGAAAAGAAAAGCTACCTGAATTACTAGTTTCCAAAGTAACTAATAAAAATGATAGAAAATATGCTTTTATCATGACAGGAAATATGGTTTGGTGATCATCCTTCATTTTTTTTACTTAAGCAAGGAAGTACTTTAAAACTGCCTCTCTACTGGAGGCCAAAATATTTGCTGTATTCGTAATGTTGCTGCCAAATAATAGATTGAATTTGTAGTAGAAAACAGACAGGTGGGGGAAGCAATAGTACAGCAGGGCTTATACACAGCTGACCTGGATTCAATCCCTGGCATCCTGTATGGACTCCCGAGCTCTGCCAGGAATAAATTCTGAGTGCAGAGCCAGGAGGAACCCCCAACCGTCGCTAGGTATAACAAAAAAAAAAACCCTTTTTTTAAAAAGCAGACAATGGGGAAGGCAGTCTAAAATTTTAATGAAAATATCCTCCATGCACACATTGTATTATACATACCCAAATAAGCCAGGAGTCGACAGTCCCAAATAGTGCTCTATCTTCCTGTACAGCCTTCTGAACAGTTTCCACATTGTCTAGAAGCCAGCGAAGTTTCACAGCACTGAAGTAAGTGCTAAGTGGAAGGCCAGTCTTGGACTGAAAATAGAAATTTTAGCCCGCAAATTAAATTCAGAGTTTAAAAATAAAAGACAATCGGACCTCTTCCATTAAAAAGTCAATAAACTACAAAATATTCAATGGTCATAGTAATTCCACACTATTGTGGGGAAAATCAGATTCCTATCTCAATGCATGGGGATGTATGTTTATGAACAAAGATCAGACCAATATGTTTGTAGGTCAAAGGGCAACCACGAGTTTGGAGCTTGGAGCGAAAGTACAGTGGGTAGGGCATTAGCCTTGCACGTGGCAGACCTGGGTTCAATCCCAGGTATCCCATATGGTCCCCGAGCACTGCCAGGATTAATTCCTCAGTGCAGAGCCAGGAGAAACCCCTGAGCATCTCTGAGAATGACACAAAAAGCCAAAAAAGTAGAGCAGCCACATAGAAAGGTAAGAGAAAATTACATGACAGAGCAGAACAGCCTAGGATACAGTGAAGATGTCGAGTTTAATTTTTGTGCCATTAGCATTATCTGCAAAGCTGAATGACAAAACTCTCCTCTTTCTCTTATTGTGTTCCAGGAAACAGTAGTTAAACTATTTAAAGTCGGAGTATATAAAATCATGAACGTATGATCACTAAGAAATTTTTGTTTTAAAACGCATAAGGTTTAACAGCAACAGTATGTGGAGATAAATATTATCACACATATGTGTAAACATTATAAATTAGTGGAAAACAAAATCGAGCTCAAAGAATAAATTAAAACAGAACACTGTTTTACAAAATAAATCTATGGCCCAAATGCAGCTGAACTAAGGGAAGGTGGATTGAATAAATTTAAAAAGAAACAAAGGGAATGCCCTGCCACAGAGGCAGGTTGGGATGTGGGGGGGACGGGGGACGGATACTGGGACCCGTGGTGGTGGAAAATGGGCACTGGTGGAGGGATGGGTATTTGATCATTGTATAATTGAAATCCAAGCACAAAAATTTGTAAGTCACAACTGTACCTCATGGTATTTCGCTAATAAAAATTTTTTAAAAAAGAAATATACATGATAACTTTTCAGTACCTGTATACAAACACATAGTTACCAAAAGAAGAGAGACAGAGACATATACAGAGAGAAAGAGAGCGCAAGGGAGAGAGAAAAAGAAAAGTGCCTTCTGTAGAGGCAGTCTGGGGTGGGATGAGGGGTGAAAGGAGAGAAAGAGGGGACATCGGTGGTGAATAATGTACACTGATAAAGAAACAGGTGTTGGAACATTGTAAGGCTAAAATCCAATCGTGAATAACTTTGCAACTAGGTATCTCTTGGTAATTTAATAAAATAAAGACATTTAGAAAATTAAATTTAAAAAATAAAAAGAAACAGGCTTACAAATTTTGCTTGAGAAATGATACCATCTACCTACTATTTGTTGTTGGATTTTAAATACCAAATTTATTGACATGAGCTGAAAAGTTAAAAATATCAACACAGAAATAATACAATTAATTTTATAATGCTCTGGTCTCTAGTTTATTCCTTACCTAAATATAGAAAATGACCTAATTTGAAGCCTCAGCCCCCCCCCCAAAAAAAAAGCCTCAAGTGCCTGAGAACAGACCACCGGTTAATAATTTAATGCAGAAAAAAAAGCTTATCAGGACAAAAGATATTATGTACAGAGCTTCATTAAAGTGCACGCCCTGCATATGGATGAACCTAGTTTGTTCCCTGCCACTGCATATAGTCTCCTGAGCCAGAACCAGAAGTAGCCCCTCAGCACTGCTGGGAGTGATCCAAATGCACTCCAGGTAAAAAAGGAAAATAAGAAAAAGAAATAAGATTCTGATTTTGTTGAATTAAGACTTTTAGTTTTCCCAGAAAAAAAATAAAGACCAATTCTCCAAAATGTGAACAAGACATAACTTGTGGGAAAGTACTCTGATTTGAAAGACCAACGATGATTAAAAATGAGATCTCTTCTACCAAGTCCCCACAAATTCTATGGAGACTTAATACAAAATATCTCATTTCCATGGTGAGCACAAATGTTCCTACTGCTTAAAATGCAGACTAACGGAAATGTTCAATCTGCTTAAAATGCAAATGAACTGAAGTGATAGAAAAGATGGAAATTAGATTGTGCTGGTGGTTGTACACATCTAATAAAAAAATCGCAACAGTTGCATTTTATGGTATGCAATCACATCTCAAGAAAAGTGCTTATTTTCAGGGCTAGAGAAACAGCTAAAATTTTAGAGTACATGTTTGGCATGAGTAAGGCCTTGATGAATTTAACACCTGTCAGTGCAGTTCCCCTGTTGTTCTTGAGGACTGCGTTGTCACGTGCTCACTACCTGAAGGTGAGCCCTATTTTGAAAGGGAGGGATTTTTTTAAAAGTGAAAAGTGACCTGGTACTGGTAGAATGAAAGTACAGATGGCATCCCTGGTTCAGGAAAAAACCTCCAACCCTATCAAAAAAGGTGGAAGAAAAAAAAAAACTTCCTCAAAACAGAAATACAAATGGCCAAAAGGTACCTGAAAAAAAAAACGCACTACTTGCTTATAATCAGGGAGATGCAAATCAAAACAACAGCGAAATACCATCTTATACCACAGAGACTGGCACACATAGGAAAAAATAACCAGTGGTGGCACGGATGTGAGGAGAAAGGGACTATCCTTCATTGTGGGTGGGAATGGCAACTGTTGCAGCCTTTTTGAAAAACAATATGGGCATTCCTCAAAAAAATAGAAATTGAGCTCCCATTGGACCTAGCAATACCACTTCTGGGATTAACCCCAGGGGATGTAAACCCAAACAGCAGAAATGACATCTGCACTTGTATGCTCATTGCACCACTGTTCACAATAGTCAGAATCTGAAAACAACCCAAGTGCCTAAGAACAGTGAACTGGTTAAAGAAACTATGGTGCATCTACACCATGGAATATTATACATCTATTAGAAAAGGGCTGGAGCGATAGCACAGCGGGTAGGGCATTCGCCTTACAAGCGGCCAATATGGCCGACCCGAGTTCGATTCCTCCACCCCTCTCGGAGAGCCCGGCAAGCTACCGAGAGTATTCGATATGCCAGACACAGTAACAACAAAGTCTCCAATGGAGACGTTACTGGGCCCGCTCGAGCAAATCGACGATCAACGGGAGGGCCTTTACCTTTACCTTTTACCATTAGAAAAAAAGAAGTCATAAAATTCTCTTATAAATGGAGAGTATCATGTGGCGTAAATGAGACAGAGATAGTGGGACATACATAGAATTACTGTACTCATTTGTAGGATAGAGAAACATAGTATGAGGCTAATCCCCAAGGACATTAGAAATAAGGGCCAGGAGGATTGGTCCACAGTTGGAAGGCTGTGAAGTTGAAGGTCTGGGAGATAGGACAGTTGGAATAGAGAAGGCACCACTATGTCAAAGATGGTTGAAAGGGATTGCTCTGGCTGGGAGATGTGTGCTGAAAGTTGGTAAAGGACCAAACATGACGGCCTCTCAATATCCGTATTGCAAACAATAATGCCCAAAATGAGAGAGCGAGAGAGCGAGAGAGAGATTGGGATAAAAGTACCTGCCATAGAAGCAGATTGTGGGAATGCGGGGGGGGGGGGGCGGGGGGAGGGAGTGAAACTAGGTACATTGGTGGTTGGAAATGTACACTTGTGATGGGATGGGCACTGGAACATTGTATGACTGAAACCTGATTATGAAAGCCTTGTAACTGTATCTCATGGTGAATATATATATATATATATATATATATATATATATATATATATATTTGCTTTTTGGGTCACACTCGGCGATGCACAGGAGTTGCTCCTGCTTCATGCACTCAGGAATTACTCCTGGCGGTGCTTGGGGGACCATATGGGATGCTGGGAATGAAACCTAGGTTGGCTGCGCACAAGGCAAATGCCCTACCGGATGTGCTATTGCTCCAGCCACTCTGGTGATTATATTTTTTTTTAAAAAAAATGATAGTATAGCAGGTAGGACGATTGCTTTGTACGCAGAGGACCTGGGTTCAATACCTGGCATCTAATAGTCTCCTAAACACTGCCGAGACTAATTCCTGATTTCAGAGTTAAGAGTAACTGATAAGCATTGCCAAGTGTGGCTTCCCCCCTCCCCCCCCAAAAAATGGGAGATCGCCGGGGCACTGTCCTCCCGCTGTTCATCAATTTGCTAGAGTGGGCACCAGTAATGTCTCCATTATGAGACTTGTTGTTACTGTTTTTGGCATATCGAATACACCACGGGGAGCTCGCTGGCTCTGCCATGTGGGCGGAACACTGTTGGTAGCTTGCTGGGCTCTCCGAGAGATGGAGGAATTGAACCCGGGTCGGCCACATGCAAGACAAAGGTCCTACCTACTGTGCTATAATCCACTCCCCCCCAATTTGGGGATAAGTGACCTAAATAGGCATTGGAGGGTCTGAGAGTTAGCATAAGGTTTATATGCTTCTTACTTTGCACACGGCGAAACTTCTTTCCATTCCTGGCACTACATAAGCTCACCTAGAGCCCTACCAGTACTCCTGGAGGGCAGAGCCAGAAGTAAGCCTGGAGCACTGCCAGGTGTTGTCGAAAACCTTCCTGCCACAAATAGCACTGGAGAGAAAATTATGCACTCTTTACACAAGTGGACTGGAGGCTAGGGTGAGGGTTGGAGAAGGTGCTGAATAGAATAAATTAAGAAATAGGTAAAGGCATACTCTGGACAACTCTAAGGATAAGTTGGTGGATGACGACACTAAATGGTTAGTCAAACATTTGAGGAAATGAATACTAGTTTCAGATCCCAGAACTACAAGAAAACACAATTTTGAAGATATCTCTTACCTTCACAAAGTTATTATTTCCTGGAATTCTTTTACTGAGACTTTCAACTGTAGACTGTGTTCTTAGATCAAGCCACACTAGAGACAAAAATATAATAATACACATGAAAAATGTCACTAAAGAGACCAGAGCCTTGTGAAATCAATAAGGACTAGCAATCAATGATTAGTTTCTACAAGCAATTTCAAATGTTGCTCTCAAAAGACGGAAATTAGGAAATTAGATATGAATAGGCATATTGTTAGAGTAAATTTATGATAATTTTAAGCTTCTTTGCAAAATTATAATACAAGTTAGAAGACCAATACAAACCTTAGAGTTTATTTTACACCCTTCTCATTGCAAGAAAACAATTAAAATTCTTTGGACATGAATTTTTTAAGCATACGTGAGTGCAGAGAAAAATCTAAATGCTAGGTCGACCAACAGTAGTGCAGAATGGATAACTGAGGGACACATTGCTACATTCAAAGTATGTATCTTAGAATCTTGGGAACAATTTGTGACAATGTGTGACAATACATATCATTGTCTCTGCATGTATAAAGTGTCCCTTCAAAAAAGTCCTCCAAATCTAGGTAGAGCTTGGAATTCTTAAGAGAATTATTTCAATTAATTCTTAAGAGAATTCTTTCTCCCTGATTATCAAAAAAATCCACCCTTTTTTAATAGACATTATCTTAATATTAAGTACCACTATTAGTAACTGTGGCTGGAGTGATAGCACAGCGGTAGGGCGTTTGTCTTACGTGCAGCCAGCCTGGCCGAACCAGGTTCAATTCCTCCGCCCCTCTTGCACAGCCTGGCAAGCTACCGGGAGTATTCAATATGCCAAACACAGTAACAAGAAATCTCATAATGGAGACGTTACTGGGCCTGCTCCAGCAAATAGATGAACAACGGGAGGACAGCAGCATTATTTAGTAACTAGGAACTAAGGAGCATAACTTTTTTGCTATTTTTGTAGCTTAAAAAGCACCACTATTTGGGAACACTAAATTGATAGTAACTTTTCTTAATTATGTATCATTTTCTGGCTCTTTCTTTCTGTACTGCTTCCTGCAGAGGGAAAGTGAACATATTGAAAATAGACACAACACAGGAGTATACAGGGAAAGACAATGAGGATCATCAGTGCCTTGCCTGCCAAATTTAAGTCTGTACTCAACTTTCCTATCTTTTCATCTTTCTGGGCTGCCTTGATCGTTTTAGCCCAGCTGTGCACAGCAACTTCCTGTGGAGACTCAGATGTGGACACTATTAAAAGCCACCGTGGCCATCTATCCAAGCTGGCCCACCATGCCTTGGAATTATGGGCCTAGTTTTACTCACCATTAACAATGTAGCCTTTCCTTTGCTTCACTGAAAAAACAAATATCCCCTTTTATGAGTCTATCTATACATTCTTTCCAATTCTATTAAATGCCCCATTGCCCTCTCAAAGGCCAACTGAGCTTGATTTTTGACTGGCTACTGCACACTCAAATTAGGACCTTTAGAACCCTATACTGGTCTCAACAGGTGTGCCAACCAGTCAGACAAGGCCCACCGCAACCAAGGAAATGGAAGGACAAAGTGAAAGTTGAGGGACTCCAAACGTAGGGCACTCGTCTAGCAGGCAGCCAATTTAAGCTGGATTCCTTGCATCTCATATGGTCCCCTCAAGCACTGCCAGGAGTAATTATTGAGGGCAGAGCCAGGAGTAACCCCTGAACACTGGATGTGACTTCAAATCAAAAAATTTCAGGGACATAAAAAGCCTATGAGATGATGGACATCTGCTTTTGCAGTTGTGCATTCTGAAGCTGATCACCCCTCGCTTGTGATCCATCACAAATCCAATACTGTGCCCCGGCCCAATAGATAGGTCTGGGCATGAATGAGCAGGGGGTCTAAGCGGTCCAGTAGTCTTCCAAGCTATGCTTGGGAGAGCTCACGTGACCATATAGGTAGCCAGCCCAGAAAAGACAAACATGGGGTGGGGGGTGTCCAGAGAGACAAAATCCAAGTACACAATCCAATGTCCTGGTATCCTTGGCTCTAATCTGCAGCTTGAAATGGAGTTTACTGTAATTTTCTATTAAGTTCCACTGCAATGGAGACTAACCACTGGCCAAGTCATCACACACTTGACAGTATTTCTCCTGTTCCAGGAACGAGGGTAGTCCCCTCGGCCTGCTGCAGGATTCTCGCTCTCACCAATGGACTTTCCTGACAAGCAGCAACCACAGCACTTGGGAGAGGCCTAAGAGAAGTAACCAGGGAAAGGCAAGGGCTTTGAGAAGGGACTTTTCATATCTGTGATGGGTAAAAGTCACAAGCACATCACAACACCTGGGAGTTTCAACCTCAAGTTGGACAGAGGCTACAATGTTTTCATTTAGTAAACTTTTATTAGGGTGGGGCTAGAGAGATAGTACAGTGGTTAGGGCACTTGCCTCGCATCCAGATGACCCAGGTTTGATCCTAGGTACCACATACTGTCCTCCCAAGCCCAGAAGTGATCCCTGAGCGCCAGGAGGAAGCTCTGAACACTGCCAGGAGTGGCCCCAAAACAGGCTGCAGTGGTAGTTATTTTGGGTAGGCCCAAAAATGGGCCAGAAAGTCCCCAGCATCCCATATGGTCCAAGTACCACCAGCAGTTGAACCTGAGTGCTGAAAGAGAATAATCCCTAAATACTCCAGGATGTGGCAAAAACAAAAAGAATGAGAGAAAAGTCAGTGCAGGTATGGACTAAAAACAAAGAAAAACTTCTTAAAAATTGCTTAGGATAGGGGCTGGAGTGATAGCACAGCGGTAGGGCGTTTGCCTTGCACGCAGCCAACATGGCCAACACAGGTTAGATTCCCAGCATCCCATATGGTCCCCCCCAGCACTGACAGGAGTAATTCCTGAGTGCATGAGCCAGGAGTAACCCCTGAGCATGGACAGGTGTGACCCAAAAAGCAAAAAAAAATTGCTTAGGATAAAAGAAAATATGACGAGGATGGAGAATAGATTTTGTAAAATTTCTGTTTACATGTGTTTTTCAGAAACATGATGCTCAATGTGTTGTTTTATTTTAGTTTGCAGGCCACACCCAGTAACGTAAAGGGTTTACTCCTGGCTCTGCACTTGGGACCATATGGGATGCTACAGATAGAGCCCAGGTTTGCCACAAGCAAGGCAAGCATCTTACCCACTGTACAGTCTTTCGAGCCCTGATATGTATTTTTTTTTAAAAAAAAGAGACATGAAGATTCATTATAAAGGACATGAACATTATAGAATTTTTATGCAATTTCTCAGGGTTTTCCTACATTTTAATGCAACACAAATCACTTGGGATCCGTGGGTCAAACTCATTCCCAGAAATACTAGGATTGTAGACCTGGGGATAATAGGACTCTTTAATGGGCCCCCTACTCAAACTCACAGACTGACACACAGCAATGCCTAAGACCTAGAAATTACACCAGAACCACCCAGAAAATTTGGAAGAACACAGTCCGGGCCCATCTTGCAGACTTGGTTGATGGGTCTAAGTAAAGGATGTCTGAGATCCAGTGACTTGGTTACTCCACTCTTCAGAAGGACCACTTTGGTAATTTGGGCCCTTTCTTTTTCTCCTAAAAACTTGCTGCTATCCACACAGTTAAGGGGTACTCACAGATTGTCCTACTACAACTCCCAGTACACAAAAAACAATCAAAATACCTGACTCACATGAATTGAGGAGACCTAATTTCTAATCTGTCTTTCAAACCAATGAACTATGTGACTCCAGAAAGCCACAGTGACCTTCAGGGCTAGATTTCCTGCATGTAAAATAAGGGAGTTTCACTAGGTCTTGTCTAAAAATTCTTCTCTTTCCATTCACTATTGCATGATCACAGAGGCTGTCATAATATTTACTTTGTTTTCATAGCCTAAAAGTTTAAGGCAATTATAATACATGGAATGAATTAGTGCAACTGCAATGGGGAAAAAATGTCAGTGGTTCGTACACTACTAAGCAATTCACAAATACTCAAAATTAATTGAATTAAGAGCAAAAAAAAAAACCCAGAGAACTCATTAAAGAAGTTAAGATGACAGAATTAGATTTGCAGAATAAAAGACCAAAAGCCAAGAAGATGCCCAAGCAGAAAGACTATGACCCTAGTGGAGGGAATTTCTGAGAATGATCATCACAAGTGTCAGATGCAGCTCTAGTAGCAGCGGTCATGTCTGAAGTGACAGGCTGGAGAGCCAGAGCACCAATACCTGAGTAAGGGCCAGCAGCTGGATCTGAAGCGCCAGAGGGAACAACGGCAACTGGAACTGAAGGGTCAGGAATAACTGGAGCAGCTGGAGTATTAGGAGAAATAATGGGAATTCATGCTAGGGATGGCCAGAGTCAAGGTCTGTGTTTTCCTGCTGACTACTTAAGGAAACAGTAGATCCCTTGAGACAGTTCCTCGGCATGAAAAATGTTCTCTATAATTTGAGCATTTAAAGAAAGTGAAGGGAAGAGGGGCCAGAGCAATAGCACAGTGGCTAGGGCGTTTGCCTTGCATGCGGCTGGCCCAGGTTCGATTCCTCTACCCCTCTTAGAGAGCCCAGCAAGCTACCGAGAGTATCTCACCTGCACGGCAAAGCCTGGAAAGCTTTGAGATGTATTCGTTATGCCAAAAACAGTAAAAACACGTCTCACGGTTTGTTGTGAGCCATTACTGGTGCCCACTCGCGCAAATTGATGAAAAACAGGAGGACAGTACTACAGTGCTACTTAGGAAATGGTAGATCCCTTGGTACAGTTCCTCGGCATGAAAAATGTTCTCTAATTGAGAATTTAAAGAAAATGAAGGGGAAGAGGGGCCGGAGCAATAGCACAGCAGCTAGGGCATTTGCCTTGCATGCGGCCAACCTGGGTTCGATTCCCAACATCCCATGTGGTCCCCCAAAGCACCACCAGGAGTAATTCCTGAGTGCAGAGCCAGGAGTCATCCCCTGAGCATCACTGGGTGTGACCCAAAATGAAAGGAAGAGGCAGAGAGTGGAAAAGGAGGAGGCTGTCCTATTGGAGTCTCTGCTTCAGTAGTATTTTCATTTCGACAGAGGTCAGGCAAATGCTTATTTCCTGCTTAGGATTGTGCTTTCCAGGTTGGCCATGGTTGGGAAAGCAGCTCGACTGGTTAAGGGACGGTTCATTCAGCTCTTGAATGCAAAGGCTCTGTGAACGAGTGAGTGAGCACATACCTGGGGCATGTGACAAAGAAACCCTATGGGATGTGACCAGCCCTGCCTGGGGTCATCCACAGGAAGACTTTGCTTTGTGAAGACAAGGCCCCAAGAGAGCACTTTCCTGGATTGGTATCGGGGAAGTTAAGGCAGCCTCTCCAAAAACCAAGAGCGGGTCCAAAGGAACAAAGTTTCTAAGTTCTGAAATGATTTGGAAAATTAAGATGCTAGGGGTGTACCAAATACAGAATAGAAGGGTTCTAACAAGGCATGTCCCTTATACAGACCAAACAAGTCAGGTTTAAATGGTCCTGGGCATGGGGCCGGAGCAATAGCACAGCGGGCAGGGCATTTGCCTTGCATGCAGCCAACCTAGGTTCGATTCCCAGCATCCCATATGGTCCCCCGAGCACTGCCAAGAGTAATTCCTGAGTGCATGATCCAGGTGTAACTCCTGTGAATCACCAGATGTGACCCAAAAAGCAAAAAAAAAAAAAAAAAAAAAAAAAAGGTCCCTGGCATTCAATAAATAGGTGACAACAATATAAACCTTGGATGATCTGAGATTTTCACTTGCATTAAACAAAGTCACATCCAATTAATATCTGGTAGTTTAACTCTTAAAAGCAAAGCCTTAAGAGTGAAGATAAAGGGGCTGGAGCTATAGTACAGCAGGGAGGGTGTCTGCTTTGCACACAGTTGACCTGGTTTTGACTCCCAATATCACATATGGTCCCCCGAGCACCGCCAGGAGGAATCATAGGATTCGAGCTCCGCCAGGAGGAATCTCTGGATTCTTGAGAGCAGAGTCAGGAGTAACCACTGTGCATTGCTGGGTTTAACCCAAAAACAGAAAAAAAAGGGGGGAGGGAACAGCAAAAAAAAAAAGGAGTGAAGATATATACACATGCTACCATGTCCCTGTACCAGAGTTAAATTAGTAGTGAAATAAAAGTGCTGAGGAAGAAAAATTTGCGCGTGTGTCTTGAGTCTTGGTCAAATCTGTTTTGGTTAGCCAAATTAAGTTTCACCTCTAAGGAAGAAAAAATTAAGGACAAAACGAGACTCAAGTTTACTAGAGAAAACTAAAATTATGTTCAATTGACCAGAAGCAAAGGCAAATAATAAATCTCCCCTGATGTGTCTTGTTACGTGGAGCTTCTGATCTTACAGGAAGTGAGAGGAAGTTGAGGTTGCAGGCTCCAGAACACACCCTAAACAAGGACTGCTGACAGTCATACAAAGTGTTATTTGAGTTGCCCACAAGAAACAACAGTGGTACGAGTTATTTGCTCTGAGCTACCAGTTGCCAAAAGTTAAGCTATTAATTAAGCTGGGCAGAGGACATTGGCAAAGGCGATGAGATTGCAAATGTAACTACCTCATCTGATGACACTTTTAGAAATCAGATAAGGGCAATGGAAAAAATGGGGTGTAGGATGCATTAAAATTATGCCTATACTGTTGTATGCAGACATACGCACACAAAAAAATACACGTTATATGTGTGTATGTATACGCGTACATGTATTTCAGCTCTTGGCGAATAAATGCTAATGGTGGCCAGAAGTGTATCCTTTTAGGTAGGCACTGCATTTCCCATAGTAATACCTTTTGGATAGCAACCAATCCTTTCACTAGTCATTCCCAGATTTAAAAGGCCATCAGCCAATTCAGAACAGTGTCAGAGTTTACACTGACTAAGACATCTCCAGGCACTGTTTGAAGGGCCCTACATGGATTCATCAATCTCTTGTCTCAAGCCTTTAAGGACTGTAATTTCTCTTTGAACTATCAAAAGCATAGGCACTGAATGAATAAGTAGAAAAGCCAAGACTTCATCTAGAGTCTGAACAAAAACCTAAACCTCAAAGACACAGGTCGAGTTAGGATGGATTCACGTATTTAACCAGAATATGAAGAAATCTGAAAAACTAGAATCCTCAAAGTCGAAATAGAATTTACTTTGTTTTGATATACCTGGCCAGGTGGAAGAATTGAATCATCGCCCACTCATAGCACTCCTCTACCCAGAGATATCGGTCTTCAAAGATTTTCGAAGAATCGTGTAACAAAAGACTGGTACTAATGAAAAATAAGCTCAATATTCTAGATTAAGGAAAGGGAAAAAACCTATTTCTTCTTAGAGTAAAACCAGAAAAGCAGAATCATGCTTTGTTGTGAAAGGGGAAATGTTTCAGATTTTTAGATGTTTTGATGCCATGAAACACTACTCAGTTACAACAAAGACAGATATGCTCAAGTTCTTTCAGATAGCAAATGATGAATACAGTTTTAATCACTGGTCCAGGGTTAAGTAGTAGGGAGAAAAAGTAAAAGCAAAAAGATGATGAGCAATATTAAAATTGTAAGGGTCAGAGAGGTAGTACAGCAAGTAAAGCACTTGCCTTGCACATGACCAACCGGGGTTTGTTCAAGGCATCCCTTATTGTCTGCTGAGCACTGCCAGGAGTAACTCATGAGTGCAGAGTCAGGAGAACCTCCTGAGCATTACCTGGTGTGGCCAAAGGCCAAAAGTAAAAAAAAGAAACTTGCAATACTCTATATGAGTTGCATGTCATAAATAATTTTCATCCATCGTCTCAGAAAAGTAAAACTCTTCAATACGGGGCCAGAAAGTTAGTACAACAGGTAGGGTGTTTGCCTTGCATGCAGCCAATTCCAGGATAGATTCCTGGCATTTCATATACTCCCTGGAGCACCACCAAAAGTAATTTTCTAGTGCCGAGCCAGTAGTAACCCCTGGGCATTGTTGGGTGTGGCCCAAACATCCCCCACCCAAAAAAATTCTTCAGTACCACTTACCTACAGAAAAATAGATCAAACACACTTATTTTTTAAATCAGGGGTCTTTTTTCATATGCAAAAAGTCCTCTCCCAGGGCACAGTGGGTAAAGTACTTGCCTTGCATGTGGCTGACCTAGGTTTGATCCCCAGCACGACATATGTTACCCCAGCCTATCAGGAGTGATCCCTGAGGACAGAACCATGAGTAAGCCTGAGCATTGCTGGGTTTGGTCCCATAATACAAAAAAAATTAATATTCCTACCAGCATGCCTAAAACTGATACACGCCTTCCCCTGCTCTATATTTAACATATTTGGGTTATTATGTGTTTATGAATTTGGCCTGTTAGTATAGTAGACTCAATCTACTTTTAACAGCACTGAGAATCTAACCAAGGATCCCACACGTCAGGCATGCTCTCTACCACTGAGTCACTTCTGGCCTTTCACATCTATTTTTAATAATTCTTAGAAGATACCAAAGGTATGTTATATTGATTGCTAATAAAGGATAGAAGATTTGGGACAGAAAACACTTTGGAAAACGGAATGGCAGGTGGTGGAGGTGGAGGGAACCTATTCAAAAAAGAATACTGATGAAGATGATGCTAAATAAAACAGAGAGAGAAAAGTACTAGATAGAGGAAGACAAAAGGAATCCGACTCAGGCCCAAAAAGCACCTGGAATCTACCGGGAAACTCTAAAGATAGCTGTGTCCTGGGCACAGTAATTGGGAACGAGCAAGGGAAAGCGATACTTTATCCAGCACATCATACCAATTTTTACACTGCCCTTCATAGAATTAACACATATGCTCCCAAACTGTGAAACCTTTCAAACAAGTTACTTTATCTCTAGCGATCCATTGAAATTACTTTCCTAAGCTTAAAATTTACCTGTTTTATCAAAGATGCTAGTAAAAGTATATTCATAGCAAGCAAAAATAAATACCCTTTCTCAGCCTTCCACTTCTTCAGCAAGCCTATTTTCATATCCAACAAACACTATCCCAAACCTATACTCTTTCTGTCCTGGGGTGAGTAAGGGACCTGAATGCTTTAAAAAGACCCCTCCAGGGTCCAGAGTAGCAGGTAGTACTGCGGGGAGGTCGTTTGCCTTGCACGGGACTGACCCGGGATTCATCCCAGGATCTCATATAGTCCCCCAAGCACCACTAGGAGTAATTCCTGAGTTCAGAGCCAGGAGTAACCCCTGAGCATCAGCACCTATAGGTGTGACCCAAAAAAGCAAAAAAACTAAAACAAAAACAAGACCCCTCCATTCTAAAAGAGGCCATACAGACATTTTGAAAAGGAAA